TTGGGAAAATTCTCTCCTTTTTCAATGGAAATAAATTCTCGTGTTCTTGAAACAAATGATTGGAATGCCCAATAAAAACTGTGACCTGGATTTCTATGGCCTGTTTGCACAATCTTTTTAAAAAATATTTTCAGTTTCAGTGGCATGGCATCAAGGAGGAGGCTAGTAGGAAAAAAAGATAACAGAATCTGAGGCCACCTATAAGAGAGGTTGTCTTGGTTTAAAAAAAAAGACAAATGTCTGTCAAGGAAGGCGGGAACCTTTTTGGAATGGAAAGACCCCTCCCTCAAAATTATTATAACTTTGAAATTAAGAGGCTTTCAAGCAAAAATGTAGAAAAAGGAACAACAGTTCTTTACTAAAAATATACAGAATAAACCAGAACAAACTACACCATAATAAGCTTTTAACCGGTTAAGTCCTGCCTTGCCTTTTGCTGCAGTTATGGCCACAGCCGGCAGGGGCGCTGTTGGGCTCCGGGGACGCGGCCTCAGGGCTGCCCCGGGCGCTGCGGGTGCCGCTGGCACGGGAGCGGGATCGGGCTGCTCTCCCTCTCAGGGGCTTCCTGCGAACTCACGCTGTCGGCGGCTGATCTCAGTGTGGGCCAGCGGCGGAGGGCGACGGCTGGGAGCGGGCACAGCTGGGGCAGGCAGAACTCGTCCCCAGTGCTGAGCTGCGCGCAGCAGTGCAAGGCGATACAGCACAGCTCCAGCCAGCGCTCTGTGGCAGCCAGGCAGCGCTGCTCCCAGAATGAAAAAGGCACCCCCCGAAGCCAAATTGCCAGTCCTCTGCTTCCCCATAGCCCTCCCTTTGGGTCTGGTGCCCCAGCCATAGTTACCCAGGGAATGGGGCTTTCCCCACTGCAGTAGGGCAGAGGCAGAAGAAACAAAAGAGTTCCACTTCTGCTGGGAAAGCCATCAGCCCTTCAACAGGAGAGCCATCTCTCCCTAAAAGAAAAACTTGATTACTCCCACCTGCTTGACTGTATGTCAGTGTGGAAAACTCACCAAAAAGTTTAAAACTATAACAGAAATCCACCACTTTCTTCCATGTGAATAATTTTTTTGGTAGTATTTTACATTTTCCAGCAGGACCCAGCATGCAGGTTCACCAACACTCTCAGACTTCCCTCATAAGGTCCAGATTCCTGTCCCTGTGCAGGTACATGATTACGAGTGTCAGTTGACCCTCACCTTTTTTCTGTGTTGATACAGAAATCCAAGGCAGATGTTCTGTTTAATAGTAAATATCTTATGCTCTGTCAGTTTTGCATGCTAATCTTATAGACAACTGCATAGTTTGCCAATAATTTGCTAAGAACCTGTATCTCATAATGTTTTTTCATATAAGCCTGATCCCTGCCATACATATGTATGTTTATTGGAAAACCATATACCAATATTATTTCAGTATTTTTTACTTCTTAAATTGAGTTCTGAACTGCTACCACAAGTAATATGTTTGAAAAGATAACACATCAACTTGAATTTTATTATTTCAGTGTCTATTCTTTTTCTAGATACTTCTGCTTGTTGAAATTGGCATTGGGTTTGTGTCCCCTCGCAGAATTATGCTTGTGTTGACTATTACTCAGATTGCATTTTTTAATAAAAGAAGCTTCAAAGCAACCTTGCTAAAATGTTGCAAACATAACTTTGTTCAGCAATCGTGGTAATGCTTCTTTGTAAACATTGATGCTGCAGTAATCCAGTGGGACAGTTTCATCCCTGGTAAAACCCTATGGACAATCATATCTCTAGTGGAAATTAAATGCAACAGGAAATAATTTGGCTGAGTAAAATAACTCTCTTGATTTAAGGTAATGATTTACATCTAACTCCTGGTAGTTCTACATAGAGTTAGCTGATTTGGTTTAGGACATTTCTGTCGCAATTTAGGAGACTTCTCATTGTAAGTACTATTCCTATCATACATCCCACTGGCCCCAACTGTCCTCTCCAAATTTACTTTGGTTTATGTGACTTGGCTTTCTGAAAAGTGCTGCTTCTCTTTCAGTAACTCACAATTGATGTAGAAATGTAATATTTCATAAAATTAATATCTGGGTTACACTATAAAATTTAAACACCGCTGCAGCTAACACTTTTCTTGATGTAGAACAGACACTGTTTGACTAACAGTCAAGGCATAGTTGTTATTTTCAGCTTCAGTGTTCCTGAATGGTAACCCATATGTGAGAGCTTTCTTTCTGAGTTCATCACCTCTTAAGTTAGCAGTCCAGAGACTTGCAAATGTTTTTTTTAAATTCAGCTTTGTTGTTACTGCCCACATGAGTCTTAGCTGTAGAAGAAAATTTACATTAGAATTTGTGTTGTCCTCAGCAGAATTCTGCTGAGACTCTCACATAAGTAGTTATGGTATTATTTTTATGCCTTCGCCAGTTCTTCAATATTTCGACTTCCCAAATAATAGATTACAGGTAATGTTGCCAGAACCCTTATACAAGGGACTTTGATTCAGTTACAGAATTTTTGTCAACCTTGCACTCAGTCAAAGAATGTATTGACTGCACAGCCATAGCTTCATAAGCAAAGAGCATTAAAAGAAAGTTCTTGTTTGCAATCAGGGGTTGTTTTGCAAAGTTAGAGCCATCTGGCAACTACCTGATAAAGCCTAGTTGAATTTTTAACTTGCAAAACAGGACAACTATTCTGAGCAGACTAACTAACTTTAAATTCAGCTCAGTTGAACAGTTTCACCTTTCCATTATGAAACACACATCTTCTCCCTTTCTGTTAAGCAGCTTCATTCACACTGACCTCGGTCTTTGGATTCTTCCTTTAAATGCAACAAACTAATTACCTTATTTTCTAGTGTTGCAGTTCACTTTTGCAGGACCAGAAGCAACATGTTCCTGAATCTAATAAAAATACAGCTTTCAATGAAATGACTTCCACAAAACAAAACCTTCTAATAATGAAATAGACATAAATACAGAAAGGAATTATACAGAAATAAAAGCATGGTACCAATTCAAATAAAAACTTAAATCAACTGCAAGAGGTTATGCATACACAGTAGCATTGTAAGCTTGTACTTTGGCAACGTTTAATATAAATTAATAACCACAAGAGTTTTACAGGCAGTGCAAATAGCCATAGAATTAACCAGTCTGTTAAATAAAAGCAAAATTAATACCAAAGAAGAACTTTTATAGGATATATAAATTTTAAGTACTGTAGTTGTTTCTGTGGATAATTTAGTGTTCTGGTAAAGATGTGTCTAGGTCATGACACCAAGAATAATGGCTTGCCTCATCACCAATCAAAACTCCTCAGTGTTCTATTAAATGAAATAAAACAAAACTACTTTATAATTTTATGGAAACTTGAGCAAACTATTGTCACAGAGATGATGTATTATAAATAGGAAAGGACTTTTTTTATTAAGTAAACTGCAACACTGATCTAGTTTAGTTTGTATTTTAAGTAGTTCTGCCTCAAACAATCTCCAGAAATTCATTCAAATGCAACCTAAATTACATTTAGAATAGGAATACCACCAAAATTACATTTGTCTTGGTTAATGTTTCAGATAATTTAGAGGGGTGGAGACCTCAGACAGAAGTCTCCTCCTGCAGATTCAAAACCCCTGGTTTCTCCAATACAGAGAGAGAGACCAAATATGCCCGTAAATAAATGAAAAAATAACTCTTTACCAAGAAGAAATACCAGTATTAATACTGATAAACCTGGGTTAAACCAACTGATGAGGAGAAACTTCCCAAGCCCTGCCTGCTGGACCAAATGAAGATGGCAGCTGGCCTCCTCAACGTGGAAGAAACAAATGTGACCACAGGACAGAGACCAGATGGCTGCCCCTCCATGTGTTTCACCACCCCCACACCCAGAAAACTTGGCAGGAATGGTTGGAGAGCCAGTGCTGGCAGGAAACAGCAGATGGCAGGGATTTGATACTGGCAGGCACTTGCGTGGTGGTGGAGTGAGGCTGCTGTTCTAGTCCAGTCTAGGCAGTCGGGCCAGGGCTGTGGACCCCCTCAGGTGACTGGAAGGACCTCAAGACTCTGGTTAGATCCAGTGAAAAGATTTTGTTGTTGTGATTTCAATGGTCAAAGTGTTGTCAAAGTGGTGGCTGCAGTCCTGTCAAAGTAGTGGTCGTAGTCTGGATCCGTCAAGGTGGTGGTGGAAGCCCCAGGTTTGGGAGGCGAACGATGTGGAAGGGCAGCCATCTGTCCTGCGTGTGTTTTGTGCAGGTGGGGGAGGCCAGCTGCCATCTCAATTTGGTCTGGTTGGTTTTAATGCAGTTTTATCAGTATTGTTATTGGCATTGTTCTTGGTAAAAAGTTATTTTTTCACTTACATTCAGGCGTATTTGGTCACTCTCTCTGTATTGGGGAAACCAGGGGTACTTAATCTTGAGTGGAAGACTTCTGTCTGAGGTCTACGCCCCGCCAAACTGTCTTAAACCAAGACAGGTTTTCTGCAAGCACCTGCAAGCAGCATTTGTTGCCAAATAAGAGCAGGCAGGATTATATTTCATTTGATGCAATAAATTTTCCAAAGTCCAGAACTTAAAATGTTTGCAGAACAAAGAACTTCTTGTAATCAAGGTTGATTATAATTATGAGTAGTTCAGCATTGTTGAGGTATTCAACCTGGAAACAGTCTATTAAAACATGATGTTAGTGTTAGCTGAGAATATGCACAAAATAGAGAGTCTCACTGGCTTAATCCCTAGAATTTCACATTTCGAAATAAGTAAAAGTGTTATGATCAAAAATTTTATGATCAAAACTGTTTGAAGAAAAATAAATAAATAAGCAAATAAAGTAAAAATATAACAAGGAAAAAAAAAAGCCAAAAAACCCCCAGAACAAATGCATTAAACTGAACCAAAACATTGAAAAATAACTTTATCAGAAAATACATGGACTGGCTATCTTTTGTTAATATATAAATAGGAAGGGTGATTTGAAAACTTAAAATAAACAGGTGCAAGGTGGTAATACCTTCTCAGACGGTATTATATACTTTTTATTAGACTTATGCTTTTTTTTTTAAAAGCTTCAAATACAGTATAACATACAGAAAGTGTAGTCTCATTCTACCAAAATACTAAAGAACATTCAAGGTTTCAAGATAAGCTTATATTTCCAAGATCATATTATGTGTCTGTAACTGATGGTAGCTATCTCGTTAGCATCACCTGTACTCTCTCAAAAACGTAAACAGATCTCGTGTATTTCTGCCAAAACTTTATGTCCACAAATTTTTATGCCAAACTCTCATAATCACAATTTATTTTTCTTTAAGGCAACAAAACATAGAAAAACATAGCAATTAAATGTAATGACATCGTCAGGAGTTGAAAAACTATCTGTAGAACAATTTAGTTATTTTACTAGGAAATCACAGAAGTAAGTTTGTATCAATCACAGTCCTTTGCAGAATTGAGTTTATGAAGGCAGGCATGGTCTAATCTTTCTTGTAACCTTGTAATACTAACTGCAAAAAAGTGTTCCTCTTGCTAGATCAATTTCCTCGCAGTACAAGGTTTTCTGTACTGAAGTATTCTGACAAGCAAGAATGTTGGGGGCTCTGCATGGTATGCACGGTCAGAAGAATCGCTACTGTATAGTGAGTCACATTTTTCCTCCTTACTTAAGTGCCAGTTTGGATCCCATAAAATCTAAACGGCAAATAGTTCTCCCTTGGGGCAAATTTTTCTAGTGAACCAGTCCATATGAATACTAAAGAGCTGATGATAAAGATATCAATAACCTGTGTATCTTCTCTCAGATTACTGCTGCCTTAATTTTAGGCTCTAAATAATTTTTAAGATCTGTAAGTTATCAGCTCCTGACAGACTAAAAAGATGGGAAGGAATGAATTGTCTCCTGAGCAACACTTCTTTCCAGCAAAAGATTCCTCTATGTAGAATAAAAAACTGTCTGAATAAACATCACCGATGGGAAACAGTTTGTTTTGGTTTGGTTTTGGTTTTTTTTTTTTTCCAATATGTGTGTCAGCTCAGGACTTTAAAAAGTAAAATCTCAAGGATGTGAACAGCTACAGCAGTCCACAGGTGGTCTGTTAGCCATCACTCATGCTGAATCTCAGTATAGGATGTTTTCTGGATTTTAGTTTTGCGATTACTACTGATGTATCTGGTATATACGTTGGATGCGTTTGTACTAATTGATATATATGGCACTAAGCATGTGGAACTGAGAATGTGACCTCTTGGTCACAGAGCCAATGCTGATGAAATTAATGTCAAAGTCACAGACTCCAAGGTGCAGCTAATTATAAAGATGATGGTGTTGATACTTACCTTTTTTTGTATTTCTTCCCCTTTGAATTACAGATGTTTTACTTTGAAGTAAGGGTGACTGTTAAAACTTGTTGAAGTTTTAGCTGAAGGACAGTAAGACCACTTTCTCCCTGTACCCTTGTGGTTACTGTCTTTTTCTGCTTTGTTTGTTTGTATTGTTCTCTACTTTTTAGTAAAAACCATTTTTTTTGTTTCTACATGTTGCTCAAAAAAGCTCATCTCTATTTTCAAATTTACAGTAAGTCCGGGAGGGAGGGTTTCTATTCCGTCAGAGGTCCTGCCTACCTGGCAACATTGTCTTTAACCCAAAACACTTTGGGATACACAGAGAAAAAAATGGAGAAGTTACCCTACTGTTTTTCCTTGGCTCAGCACAGTCACTTACTACAGCAAAAGAAAAGCTGTAGAAAGGGGTAATCCATTTTCTCTCAGTGCCTAAAATGCACAATCAGTTTTTAAGGGAAGCTGCTTCAGACTTATAGAGAGCCAACTGAAAGCTGTAGCTCTTTGAAAAATCCTGGCAAGTAAATCAAAGAAATTCAAGGCAATGATGAACAGATCTTCCTTATGAGAAAAAATTGGAAAAAGATCTTGCATCAGTAGTATCAACCATCAGGAAGCTTGGGGAGTATATTGAAAAAGCTCTGCATTGAAGCTTTGGGCTCTGGGCTTGTCCAGAGCCTAAGCAGAAATGCTTTAGGGAACGCAGTGGAGTTGCAGGAGAATCTCAGAGAATGTGTATCTTCTCAGGGTCCAACATTAGTATGATAGAGATTTCTGAAACAGCTGACTCCAATTTTCTTTAATAACTACTCAAAAATCTGAATTCTATAAACTTGCATTTTTTTGAAAATGTGTAAGTAATCTTTACTACACATTTTATGGTAGTGAGTTCCATGTCAATATAAAATTTTATATGAAGTACATTCATTTAAATCTATTTTTATGATTTACTTGGATGAGATTTGATTTTGTTATGAGAAATAATGAATATTGCTTCTTCTCCAGAGTGCTCATTTGTAATTATCCTATCTCCTTCTTAGTGGTTTGTTTTGGTTTGGTTTTTGGAGGTGAATAGTGTAGGTTGTTATTTTTCTCCTTTCTATAACATGAGAAACTATTTAGGGTTTACCATTTTTTCTTCAACTTATCAATGTCACCCCAGAAGCAGTCATCCAAGGGCAATGAAGTATTTCAGCTTGTAGTATTAGTAATAAGGTGAAAGGATAGCAGAATACAAAGAAATTAAAAATAAATTAAGAAAAAAAAAACCCTAATGAGCCAATGCTATAAAGCAAAGCCAAGAAACTTAGCTATTTGTATAATTAATAAAAAAATACTGTAAGGTAAATGTGTATAGATTAGTCAGACATTAGAACTAGTATTTTAATAAGGGAGGTTAAAATACAACAGGAGGGTAACTATACAAGCAGTATGAAGCAAAAAGAAGTCAATGTTCATGCATAACAGCACACATTGGTTTCTATACTCATGGCTATTATCAGCTGTGTGGGTAAAATGAACAATTTTCACTCAAACCCATACAAGATGTAATAATTTTTTAATTTAACATTTAATTGGGCTAAAAAAGGCAATTACACTGGAACTTATGTTACATTCATTCCCCCTTCCTCTCCCATGTGTCCTCAGATCATCTTTAAAGTTCATCACATAAAATCACATAAAAACCATTTCTATCTGCTGAAAAATCATTCAAGTTCCTATCTCAATAAATGGCAATCTGGTTAATAAAAGACATACTTTATTTTTCAAGTGTATAGTCACTATAGATACGCAAAAGTAGAATTATTGTACTCAAAGTCCACAATATCTACAGAGAAGACTGGGATTACATAGAATGACAGCACTGAGTCAGAAGAAAGCCCTCAACTGACATAACTTAGACGCTGTAGAAACCAACAGAACAGAGACCTGTTAGAAGCCTTGATAAACTAGGTCTGAAAAAGTGCAGACAGATACTGTTAGAAGACTTCAGGCAATCTAAAAAATTTAAACCACAGAAGTAACATATAAAATATGATTTTTAATGTAAAAAGGACTGTTAAAAATCTTTACTTTATTACCTGAATCTGCATCGTTAATGAGACTTTTTTTTTAAAGAGACTTTTTTTCTTTTGCCATATCTCACACTCTTCAATAAAATAGAAAAAAAATCATCCAAAAAGAAGTGACTGTCAATATAACAGAAATTTTTTACGATGCCTAAGTACATCCTATGCCTGAATTAAGAGTACTGGTGTTGTTTTGTTTTGAAGTACATACTACTTGTGAAAAGCTTCTAGGCGCATTCTGTTTGGATCTTCTGGATGTCTCAGGGCAATTCCAAATCGCAGCAGCAGCTCAATGTAAGGTGGCCAAAACGACTCATTGATTGTTACATAAGGTTCATGTGGTGTGGCCATTAATTTATTTATCAGAATCTGGAAGACCAAAAGGATAAGATTCAGGAAATAAACAAAACAGCTAGATTTTTATCTCCTTTAACCAAATTAATACAAATTACTGTAATGTAGGCAATATAAGAACTACAGGACTACAGGAGAAATACAAGACCTGTTCAGAGTAGAATCAAAGAACTTCCAATTAACTTCCCTGCATCATTTGTTATGTAAAAATTAGAACCAGAATTCTCCTTTTATCCAGAATAAATATAGACTAAATTCCTTATCTAAATAGTGAATTAGGTAAAAACAAAATGAGTTTTGACATTCGTTTTCAGTTCATGGAGACAGTGTTTATGCCCTCATAATATTGCTCATTGGGAATACTGCACACATTACAGATTAAGTAATCTTACCCATCCCATGGTGCTCTCTCTACTGATCCCAGATACTTAATCTTTCCACTCAGAGGTTCTAAATGTCATACTTTCCAAACTTCAGTAAGTACAAAATACTGTCTGCCCCTTTTTGCTTAAGACAGACTCAAAATCCTTGCTACCAGACTATATTCTTTTTTCACCTGTTGCTATTTAAAAAAAACAAACTCCAAATCCACAGCTGCTCTTCATAGCATTCTGAAGAATTGTTCCAGTTTTGTACTTATTTGACCCAATTATGAGACTTTATGCCAAATGCATTATTTGACATGAATTTTCACTTAGCCTCTTCTAACATCCGATATTCCAAAATAGCCCTTATGGCTGTAAACGTTTATATCTTTATGTAAGAAAATACTTTTCAAATTTTAAAAGGGACTTCAACCTAGAACCACATCACTCAACAAATAAAAACCTCCTAGAAAACAAAGATAAGGGACATTGACACTTTAGGCCAAGACAGTTACACTTAAAAACAAATCTGAATTTTTTTAAGTAGTATGTTCTTCCAAATTGAAATCAGGCATTACTTGGGTGTGTTTACATTTTAAGGAGATTAACAATAAGATAAAAATATGAAGGGTAATTTTTAAGTATTAGAAGAACTTCAAAATTCTAATTCCATGAGTACTGTGTAAATTCTAAATTCTGATCTGTTTTCAAGTTCTGCCTAATTTGACATTAACAGGTATGCTAAGATATCTGAAGCATGTAAAATAATTTTGATGATGCAAGCCCAAAGCTTGGGTTTTAAACTAAAGTACAACAATGTAATAGTGATCAGATAACAGCACCTTAGTACCAGAAAATTTTTATCCATCATGTTGTGCCTCAGAAAAAACTTTTCCCCCCAGGGACATTTTATATATATAGATGCTTTGAACTGTCTGAAGAGTAAAGATAAAGGAGAAATACAAAACTTCACTTCAAATGCTATATTTAATGCGAGAAGAAAAATTATGTTTTAGAATTCAAATTCATAGATTGTACTATAATTAAAAACTCACACGAAGGACTTAGAAACTTAGAATTGGATCGGTTTCCTCATATGAGAAGATAATCATACATGAGACTACATATTAGTTAGTCCTTGTAAGATTACACATGAATTGGTCCTTCTTAAACTGTTATTGCATTAAATTTCAGAAATATTTTTATTGAAACAGTACAAAATAGTGTGAAATTGACCAATTTTTTTGTTAAGCACAGTATTTTTTTCTCCTAATATGAGCCACTAAAGTACAAAAACTTCTTTAAACTAAACATTATAAAATCAAGAAATAAGAGATAACCACTCTCCAGCTTAAACTGAAGATTATTGCCACATCTCTTGTAAAAACTGGGATTTTGATAGGAATTAAAATAGAAAACTGACTTATCTGAACATCTCTTCTTTCAGTTTAAAACCATTACCCCCTGTCCTATCACTATCACTATCACTATCACTATCACTATCACTATCACTATCACTATCACTACCTGCATAAAAAGTTGCTTTCTCTCTTTTTTACAGGTCCCTTTTTAGTACTGGAAGGTTGTAATGAGGTCTACCTGCAGCCTTCTTAAAGATGTATAATCCTTAACATTCTACATTAACCAAATGCCATATAATGTCATTCATCTTATTAATATTAATAAATACATACCACCTTATGGCTATTATTATATGATCTGAATATTGAAAAATCCTCCAAATCTCTACATAATAAAACTATCTTACCTCTAAAATGTCTTGCAGTGCTAGCAGTTCTACAGCTGGCTCTGGAGAAAAGTTCTGGAAAGATATACACGTCCACAGCCAAATTAACAAAACTTCAAACTAGATTTAGTCATGACAGAAATACAAGATAGTATTTAAAACTAGCAATTCAAAATCCTACACTTCAAATGCAACAATTTTTTAATTATTAAGAGAGATTAACCTTAAGTGATCATGTTTGTGTTTATATTTATATTTAAATAAAACCAAGTAAATCACATTTATAACATAGTATATTGCAGAACCTTATATGAATGTGTTAGGGAAAAAATGTTTTTCATGAGCTTTATATAAATATTTACAATACAAATTTGACAGAACTCAAGACTTCATTTCATAGTGCCTTAAAATTTTTTCATAAATTGCCAATGAATATTTATTTACTTACTCTAAATTCAGTTTTTAAAAATGAACAAGCATAAGAAATACAATGATTAAAATCTGGGGAGGAGGGGAGGTTATGATAAAATATAATTAGAAAATTGTTTTCCTTTGTAGCAAGCAAATCAAGGCATTTGTCTATACACCAATAGAGATTCCTTAGGCAGCAATGCTATTGGATCTGCTTGTGCTGTTGCATGGTGAACCTGATTCTTTTGCAGTTTTATCCTTTTTACCCTTCCACTTCAGTTTCAACAAAATTAAGGAGGTAATGCGGCACTGCCAGCTGCTTACTCAGCATTGCTGTTGAATATGTCAGTTAAGACCTAAGATATTAATAGCTGTGCTGGACCTTATAGGAACTTCTGGAACAGAAGAAGAATACAAGCAAAAAAGAAAAATTTGTAAAAAGCAAGTTCTGGCACCTTTTTTTCAGTCACATTTTGTAATATTATCACCTTCAGAGTCAGAAGGGGGACATACTGCCTGCTCCATGGCAATGTTGCAAACCACAGAGGCTCAGTAATGCCTATCTTTGCGCCTTTAGCTTGATACTTGGCAGAGGAAGTAGAACTTACACCAAGTGAAAAAGGTTCCTTAAAGCAAACATAAGGATACTTCACAGCTTCAGCTGTTTTATTTCCCTGGTCAAAAATAGTGCTTTGTAACTTAAAGTAGTGGGTTCAATATTCATGTTTCAAAGCTGAAATTACATTATGACTTCAGCAATTATTAAAACTGATTGTATATAAAGAATAAAATCCTAAGGATATTAGTGTGAAAAGGTTTGCACTCTCACAGAACTAGCAAACTTATTTTGCTAGGCTTATCATTTACATCGTGTACTTTGTAAAATTATTTTACTTACCAATTTTAAGTGTCATTGATATAATAAGTACCTTTAATTAATTAATGATTATAAAGTCAATTTAAGCAGGATGCTCAGCATTTAGTTAGTTAACCTGAAAGGCACCTTCTATCAAAAAGATTCACATAACCAATATTCCTCAACTTACGACTTTTCGTATTCTTCTCTTGAAAAAAAAAAAGTGTGGGTTTTTTATCTAAGATTTAAAATGCAAGAGAATTCTTACCATAGTCACTACCTATACTAAAGGTGTTGGGCTATGGCAAGGGAAGCTAACCTGGGCTGCTGTGACCCAGTCTTCACTCCCACTCCCAATCCCAGATGCACGTGCCTGGTGAAAGGGTGGAACCAAAGCAGCAAGGCTTCTAGCAGTTTACACTACTCTGCAGCTGTGTCCTACAGATGTCAGCCCCAAATATTTGTCTCACACAGAACTATTGTGAACATGTTTCCACAAAGTGAAGCTTACAGGGGACCTGTAGTTAAGCCATTGAGAACCAAGTGAGTCAAAAGATATAGAAGAAACTGAACTCACAAGAAGTGAAAAGAAAGAAAAGATGTGTCAGAATACAAACTGTTTAAGAGTTCAGGAAATGCATAAATAAAATTTAAACTAAGGAAAGAGAAAACCTTGTGCTGAAATTATACAAAATAAATTTTTTGTTTAAGTAAAAGAGATTGGTGACAGCCAACCTGCCTTCATTAAACACCAACTGCACCCAATAAATTTGGTGGCCTTTTATGATGGAGTTATAGTACTGCTGGAGAAGGGAAGAACAACTGATATCATCTACCTGAACTTGTGCAAAGCATTTGACGCTGTCCAGCATGACATCCTTGTCTCTAATGAGAGTATAATGTGTTGTATTTACTAATAGTGGGAAACGAAGGCATTGGTATGCAGAAAAACCTAGGATTCAACAAAATAAGATCTTTGAATAATACACTGAAAATGATCATCGTGTCTTGAAATCTCCATTTAGTATGGAGATTTTATATGCATCTTTATTTGTATCTTTTATATGCAAAAGATACAAAATACTAATGTGCAAAACCAAGATTTTTTTTAACTAAAAGCTTCCTCAGTTGCAAACAGCAGATAGAAAAACACAAGGGTATAATTAGTTGCTTTGGTGATAGATGTGAGCTAGTAGTTTTCTTTATAATATTGTTTTTTAACCAGGTCCCAAAAAGATTAATCCAAGTGAAAACAAATATAGAAAATGGGTATTATTAAGATAAGCCAGGGAATTGAAAAATACCTGAGAAGCACATAAAAGTGTCGCTAGTTCAAATAGCAAAACAAAGAAAGAGAGGGTATATGATTGCTGTCTAAAAATATACCAGGAGGAATAAACACAAGAAAAAAGACTATTGTAAGGAAAATATTGCTATAAGAATATATGGATCTGTGTTAGACATGGATAAATTTAGACTGGGAGCTATGAGAGTTTCTAACCAGAGTATTGAGGTGCTAAAAAAACCCCAGTAGAAATAGTAGTAATGAAAATTATTTGTTCTAAAATGGGAGTTCAATAATATTAAAGGAATTATATTTTGTCGTTGTCTGAAATAACAGGGAACTGGACGAAAGAAATCCTTTCTATTTCTGTAATCGTAAGTAAGTCTGGAATCAAATTCAAGCCCCTGCCTTTACTTTTTAGCCTTTTTGTATCTATCAAGTACTAGAGGTAATAGTTGTATTTTTACATCAGACTTTGAATTTATCATGCAAAATACTCCCTGGCTGCCTATTTTCCCTAAATTTTCAAGATAATTTTTGGGCCAATTTGCCTGGACAAAAATCTGATGGTTAAATTCTAAACTACTTTGTAATTATAAACACTTGTCCTTATTGTTCTAAAATCACTGTTAGACAATTAAAATTTGTGTTGCCAAGGAAAACAGGAATCCATCTGCCTAGTTGAGTAAAAAAGAAAATGGGTCAATTTGGATTGAACCCCTCACCATTTCCAAATTTGGCAGAGCTTGCAGTTCAGTAGGAAATACAATACATTATTATGCATTAAGAAAAGAAAATATCCAGCTGGAAACAGCCTTAAATAATATAAATCAACCTGAAAAATAAAAATTAACCTAAAGAATCATCTGTAAGAACTATACTTATTTCAAAATATAACTGCAGATTCTATGCTAGTGACTTTAAACAGATACTGCATCTAATTAAATAGAAATTGAACATTTTAAATTTAATAGTCATAGCAAAATCTTACCTTGTTTATAGCACTTCTACCACCCTGTGGAAGAGGAAAATGTTCATCCAGGAATTCACCCAGAGCACTCAACAGTTCCCTCTTATAGGTCTTTAATTTCAACATTTTATTGTGCAGTTCCTCCAATCCTCTAATTTTCAAATAGTAAAAACATAGCAATAGAGTATGAAATCAAATAAAATACTTTGAAAGTTCTTCACAAGTAAAAAAACCCCTAAAATTCAGTTCTTATAAACACAACATCTTGAATGACAGGATATAATAGCAATATTTACCATATTTCAAATCTGGATTACTGAGCAATTATTTGAACTATTTAACAAAACAAAGAGTATGTTTTAAGAATTTGTTTGTTCATTTGCTCCTGTTGATATTTAAATTCTTCAGTATAAAAACTCAACAGTGTAGAAATACCTTGTTTCGTAAAGTTGTTCAACTTGGAGTTTTGTCTCTTCTTCAATTCTGTTAAGAGTATTTAGCATCTGTTCCTGTTCCTCATACCACTGCTGCTCTCTTTGAAACATGAAAAGCAGGAAATGGCACAACAGAAACACAGTTTTTCTGGGCGGTCAAAGAAACCAGTTTACAGCATTCTAAATTCCAAATTCTTATATTACCTTTCCAGATCTTCTTCTAGTTGTTTATTCTTTGAACAAACTGCTGATAGCACCTTTTCAAGATCACTCTTTACTTTCTGCAACTATAAAAAAGTAAAAATGAAACTACAGTTTGCAGGTAGTCCCATTTATGTAAGGCTACATCTGTAAATCTGAATCAGAAGGCCAAAATGATCTGCAAATTCTTAAGAAATATGGCTATAGTGTGACACACTACTTTAGAATCCAGTTTAAAATGCAAGAGGCTCTTTAAAATGTTACTGTCACCAGTTGCTCATTAGTGCCTTATTGAAACTCTGTAAAGCAACATAGTTAATTTTACCTGAAGTAGATTATGGAGCATACATATGAACTGCTGAGCTGATGAACGACTGAGGCAAAAACATCTACAGCACCAGGGCTGTACTGTCTGAATCACTGCAACTGCTTGCAGGAATGAATCCATGCTAATTGCACTAACATAAAAAGTACAGAAAACAAGGATGCTGCAAAAAAGACTAACTGCATACATGATTTAAATGGTCTTTGATGCTATGGACATATCTGGGAGAGGAAAGAAGGAGAAATTAAACTACTGTGGCCAGAAGCTATAGGCACTGCTGAATCTAGGGAACAGTGGACTCTCGGTGGGCTGGGTCCTTCATTACAGAATGGGTAAGGCTGTATTGAGGAATACATTCAGGGCAGGTAGCCTGGTGTGCAGCTGCAGTGCATGCTGCTGGTTGAGCCCCTGGGGGCTGGAGTCAAGACCACCTGAGCCAAGACACCACCATGAACTGCTGACCCTTGCAGGGTCAGGGCCTGTGGGCCAGCCAGGAGACCTGGACACTGAGAGTGTCCCCAAGAGCCGATGACTCCCTGACTCCCAGACTTTCCTGGGTTTTGACCAAAAAGGTATAAAAGCTCAGAGCATAAAGGTATAAAAGGTATAAAAGTTCTGGGTCTCTCCTCAGGGGCACCCTTTGAGCTGTTATTTTGTTATTATTGCACCATTATTAAATTATGTTAAGGATCTGGACATCTGAGACTCTTCTGTGGGAAACCTGAGGTCGAGCCTCAGGTAAGGATTCCTTACTCAGGAAGGAATAAGTAAGGAAGCCTATCTTAAGGGCAGGTGTCAGAGGATGGGGTCAGGCTCTTTTGAGTGGTGCCCAGTGATAAGACAAGGTGTAACAAGCACAAACTTGGAACACAGGAAGTTCCATCTGAACATGAGGAAAAATTGCTTTAATGGAGGGTGAGCATTGTGACAGCTGCCTAGGAAGGCTGTGGAGTTTCCTTGTCTAGAAATATTCGAAAGCCACCTAGATACGATCCTGTGAGGCACTTAGGGACGGGGTTTAGCGGTGGATTTGGATTGTTGGACAGAGACAAAATACCATTTATTGTGTGTTACTCAGTGACTTGTGCAGTAAGTCAGTTTAAAAGCTCATTCATTACAACCAGAAAATTTTAGTAGTTATAATACAGGGGGAATAACCAATTAAAACAACAACAATGCCTGAAGGAAAATACACAGTATCTTAGCAGTAGTCCATCCCAAGAACAGTCACAGGAAAATGTGGTAATTTTATATAGTTTTTCTTTTTTTCCCAACAAAAATTTATTCTCTCTTAACAAATAAAAATACTTACCTCTTCTTTTCCTAATTCTAACAGTACATCTGGATTGGTAGAAATTGCTGAAAAATAAAATGGGATTTTTTTGTCATTGAATGATAAAGACTTATTTAATACTGAAAAGCAGCCCAGCTAGAGAGAAATTTGTGTAGCCTCTAAAAAAACCAGTTTGTCTGTCACATCAGTTTAACCTCACTTTGTGGTGTCCTCCTGTGCTAACCTACTATCATGATTCAGCAAGTTAAACTAGACTGAAAAAAGTGCAGTGTTAACGCCTCTGTTATACAGTGCAATTATAATGCCTCTGAACTAGCCCCAGATATATAGGCATAGGTACATAATGACTGTACATCACATTTAAATATACTTCAAGATAACCAAGCCTTATTTTTTTCAGCAGACGGCATTCCATTAACATTACCAATGTGGGCAATCAGACTTCTCCAGTCTTCCAATTCTGTGTTAAACAGCCTTCCAAATGCTTTACCATGACTATAAATCCTACCATTTTTAAGAACTTCAAAAGCATGTCCCCATCCCTTCTGTTCAAAAGAATTGCTACATGTAGGGAGATGAAAGGCCCAGCAATACCAGCATTCTAAATCTAACACTGAGCAACAACAGTACTTAAGGGAAAGCATGGTACAATTTAAGAACATGGAAATGTTTCCCCAGAATGCTTCTGCAAAATGCACTGATTTATGGATTATCAAAATAAAAAGCGAACTGTTGTATTTTACAGCCTTCAATGTACACCAGTCAATTCTCATTTCCATGTCAACTTCCAGCATCTGCATAAAAGTACAACTTTTTTTTAAAGTGAACTATTTGAACACATTAACAGGAGAAATGAAAGCTACTTTAACAGATTTGAATCTTAATATGTCAGGGATTTGTTGTTGAAAGTTTGGGCTTCAATCTCTTAATCTTAAAAATAACTATTTTTAAAAAAACTTTTCCTTTAACAAAAAGGAAAACCCTTAACCCTTTCCTGAAAGCACTAAACATCTCCTAAATACATATTGTTGTTTTCATAAATTTAGAAAAGTAGTTTTTTTGGTAATGTTACAGTTTTTACCTGAACAAATTTTAAAAAGCCTTAGATGAGTAGTTTTAAAAGCAGTGTTTGTTCTGAGATGAAAATCAGAAAAATTACTTAGTTAAAAATATATTAAACTACATGTCTCAATAAAATCTCTTTTACTTAGGCAATTACTGTTTCTAAATATTAACACAAAATTTGACTAGTATTCTGCCAAATTAAGCTTAAGAGCTGCAGGAGGTAGTGGTCTGTGCTATTATTAGAACAATATTTCTTTAATTACATGAATATCCTACACCCCATGATAAAACTCAATAGTAAATTTTTATTCCCATTCACAGGTGTATTTGAAGAAACCCATACAACTCTTCCTCCTACAACTTCCTGCTGACATTATTGCCCTCACTTATCAATTATTATCAATCTCTACTATTGGCTTCTAACACTTCCTCATTTTTAGATACCTCATCCTGAGTTTGTGCTTCCCATTCAATATTCATACTGAGTAAGTATCAGAATAGAAGGCCACATCTTTCGGAGAAAGAACCTGTAATTTAGTGCAGGAACAATGTAGACCTGAGACACTGGGGCAATGCATTTACAGCTGCCACTGTAAAGTCACTGGTTGTTTTATCTATTAACAGTTTAAGCTTTTTCAGTTGTAAAATCACTACACCTGAAAAAATCAGATGTCAGACAGAACTGTCTACTGATACATAGCACAATTACCAAGCAAAATACTACCAGATGCTAGGAAAGTAAAAGCCACTACCATGCACATGTTTACAGAAACTCCTATTAAAATAATAAAAAAAGGCATTAGGCAGAATACTGTTATTTTGCAAAGAAAAAGAGAAATTATGCAGAGACCGTGATTGTTTTAAAATATGGTTGCTTTAATTTCCTTATTTTGCAAAGGTAAAAGTCAAATTCTATTTTTATAAGCCAAATGCTTTTTAAAAATGTTTAAATTTAGCTGATTTAGCAGATGTAGAGCTATATAAATAGCAGCAGAGATAAAGTGAAAGCTTTGCAAAAATAAAATTTGCATCATGAACTCAAGTCTGTTTGCCAGTACTGTGCTCAAAAAAATGTAAAACTGACAAGTCATAACCTCTGAAAATAAGGTTTAAAACTGAATGCTATTAATACAATTAATAAATTGTATGAAATCAGTATTTCTGCTATTTTTATGTAGATAATTTCAGATAATGCTTTCAATTAAGTAATTTTAGACAAACACTACATACAAAAAAGATGGACAGAGAAGTAAGCAGACTCCTCATTTTCATATAAGCACTATAACTATATATATTCAAATTCTTAGCAGCAACTTCTTTTTAGTTCCCTTGGAAAGGTAGCCAAAAAAGGCAAAGCTCTGGCTGCAAATTATTATTTGCATTACAATATGCATAGATAATTTCTCTATTAAAAATTAATAATAAATATTTTAATCTGAGAACAAGTAAAAATAGTTGGACAAAGCGAGTCAGCAAGCCAAAAAAATAGGTCAAGCCCTAAGGATATTTTTAAGCCAATAACTTAAGTTAAATACAAAGTTTAATATATGTATTTTAGTAAGGAAATCTAACCACCCCAGGTATTTCAACTCAGTAAAAACTAAGTGCTTTCAGTTAATTTGCTTTAAGCCAGCATCTTATTCATAAACAGCACCAAGGAACCAGTATGTCCTAAATTCATTCAATGCCATACTTTTGGTCTACATACCTCTTAGAAGTTTTTTAGGCCAATAATTATTGAAGACAGGCTTATAAAGCTGAACTACTAATTTATTCTAATAGGGCAACAATATCTATTTATAAGAAAGAAAAACTATTTTCTCCCAGCTTCTCTTATTTGATCATGATATGCAGCAAGTACACGGACTTTGAAAGAAGCTAGAGAACTGCCTTTAATGTTGACCTGAAAAGGCATTTCCATTAGGCTAAATGACAAAACATTGGAATTCACCGCAGGCTGTCTAAAGCACATTCCTAACATTTTGTAAACACTAAAAAACCAAGCCTGTTACGGCTTAAAAATATTCAAATAAGCCAATGTATTAATTTAAAGATTAGCTATTAAGTTTTACTGGGTTGACAGGTGCTAACAGGTCCTTGAAGTGAGGGCTACCAGAACACTAATGACAATGTAGTGTTAACTGTTTTAAGAGCCTCCAAATGGGACATCTGAAAACAGAGGTTACTCGCACTTCGATTCTGAATGGTTTTATTTCCAGTCTCTGGCCACATCAGCCTTGCGAGAGAGAGAAATCAGTCAGCACTGATGCTAATGTAAAAAGAGAATTCTGAAGAACTGATGAATTTATACCTTGTGACTGAAAATGCTTAACAAATATAAGAAAACACTTGTGGTTTGTGCTTCTCAGGATCAATAAGTGTCCTGGATTCCTGTTTTGTTAAAATAAAACTCTAGTGTCTTTTACCATCTTATCTTGAGCTAAAATCTCCAATCCCTGTTAAATCCAAAACAGGTACTTTATTATGGTGTAATGGGCTTAACACTAAAGGTCTACTCCAAAGTTTCAACTAATACATCATAATACAACACACTTGTGTGAAGTATCAGTAAAAAAATAATCAGAGGAGGTATAGTTAAAAATATACCTGGGTAAATTATTGTTAGCTTATTAGCAATACTTGCAAAGATAAAAAATTGTAACAGATTCTTGAAAGATAAGATGAAGACAGTATTATTTGACAAAGTAGTTCTGTTCTAAAAAGGAAACACAGATGAAAGATGGAGAAGAAACAATCACACAGAGAAGGAGGATAACAGCATAATGGACTTCTGTTATTTTGTTAGATTTGCTAACAGTTATTTTTCCACTTAATTGACGGATGAATGGTGGTATAAATCATGCATTTATTTGTGCAGAATTATAAGATTAGGTTATAGAGGAAATCACTTTTAAGTCAACTTAGAACTGAAGTGCAAAAAGAATAAAGAAATTAAACATATGTGCTACTGTGCAAAGTACTTTATTTTTAAGTAGTATGAAAACACAATCAGCAGACATTCAGTATACCAACAGTTTCAAGTGCCTAGATGAAAGAAACTGCAGAGGTTTATGCAAGCATCCTTTACAGGGAAGCAGTTACTTACTTTCAGGACTTCTCTCATGCCACTCTTGATAATCTACTGTTAAAGCTTTCCATTGCAGCAATAACAAGGCAAGCTATGTAACAAGAAAAGAAGCATCTCTTGAAGTGTTAAGTTGCACTGGTGTAAAATGAGGTAGAACAGGATAGAAGTTAAATTAATAACTTCATACAATAGAAAACAGAAGAGTATGTATTACAACAGAACACTTATTCCTTCAAAATATTTTAAAGTCACTCACAGGGATAAAAACCATTTATATTATTTTTTTCAAAATAGGGAAATGAGAAGGAGTCAGAGTTGGCATTTTTCCCCCGATTTTCTTTGTAATTACTATAACTAAAGAGTTGCTACTAGAAGTAATGAAAAATACTTCACATCCCCACTTCTCCTTCATGGCTGAACCTGCTCATCCCACAGTTGGACAATATGGCTAGAAGGATGCTATGATGGACAGTATCAGAATGACTCTTATCAAGAAGAATTTACATAGGTACATAGGAAATAGTCCAAATAGGTATTGAAGTTATACACTTCTCCATTTTGCTGCCTATGTTAATCATTAATTAGTTGTGTACTTCAAAGTTAGTAAATCTGTCCTTATCTCGACCCATGAGGCTTCAGTTATATTTCCTCTCAAATGTCCAGCTGAGAGGGGGATAAGCAGCTTTAGTGGACATCTGGTGGCCAGACAGGTCAAACCCACCACAGATGCACTGAGGGTCCTAAGGGAACTGGCAGATGAAGTGGCAAAGCCACTATCCATCATATTTGAAAAGTCACAGCAGTCTGGTGAAGTTTCTGAACGTAAAAAGGTGCACATAACCCTTATTTTTAAAAACAGAGAAAGAGAGATCCAGAGAACTACAGGTTTGTCAGTCTCATCTCTGTGCTTAGCAAGATCATGGAACAGACTCTCCTGGAAAATACACTGAAGCACATGGAAAATCAGAAGGTGATTGGCGTTAGGCAATTGTGCCTGACAAATTTGGTGGCCTCCTGTAACAGGATTACAGCATTGGTGGATAAGGGCAGAGCTACCGATGTCATCTACGTGGACTTGTGCAAAGCATTTGACACTGACATCCTTGGCACGACATCCTTGTCGCTAAACTGGACAGACATGGATTTGAGACAGATCACCAGGTGGGTAAGGAACTGGCTGGATGGTTACTCTCAGAGGGGCAGTCAACAGTTCAACGTCCAGGCAAAGACAAGTGATGAGTGACAATCCTCAGGGGTTGTTTTAGAGACCAGCACCATGTAAGATCTTTGTTGGCAACATGGACAGGGGGATCCAGTGCTGCTTCAGCAAGTTTGCTGACACCAATCTCTGTGATGCAGTCAACTTGCTGGAGGGAGGGGATGATATCCAGAGGAACCTGGACATAATTGAGTGCTGGGCCTGTGCAAAACATGAAGTTCAACAAGCCCAGGCACAAGGTCCTGTACCTGGGGTCAGGACAACCCCTAGTATCAATAGAGGCTGGGGAATGAATGGATTGAGAGCAGCCCTAACAAGAAAGACCTGGGGATCCTGGTGGATGGAAAGCTGGATATGACCCAGCAGTGTGTTCTTGCAGCCCAGAAAGACAACCATGTCCTGGGCTGCATCAAAAGCAGTGTGGCCAGCAGATTGAGGGAGGGGATTCTGCCCCTCTACTCCACTCAGGTGAGACCCCACCTGAAGTGCTGCAGTCCCTCTCCTCCTCTGAAGACAGGCTAGGAGAGTTGACGTTGTTCAGCCTAGAGAAGGCTCCAGAAAGACCTTAGGGCAGCCTTGCAGTATCTGAATGGTACTGGTAGGCCTAAAAGAAAGCTGGAGAGGGACTACTTACATGAGCATTGTAATGATAGGGCAAGGGGCAATGGCCTTAAGCTGAAAGAGGACAGGTTTAGATTAGATATTAGGATGAAATTCTTTTTTACTGTGAGAGTGCAGAGACACTGGAGCAGGTTGCCCAGAGCAACTGTGGATGTCCCATCCTAGAAGGGTTCCAGACCAGCGCTTTGAGCAACCTAGTGAAAAGTATCCCTGCCTATGCTAGGGGTGCCGAAAATAGATGATCTTTAAGGTCCTTTCCAATCCAAGCCACTCTATGATTCTATGTTCTTTACAGCAAATAAAGTATTTAGTGGAAAATAAAAAAAAGAAACCAAACCAATGTCTTACCTTGGTATCTGATTGTAGCAGTGTTTCTATTCCTGGAAGCATTAGCTTGCTTTGAAACTTGGTAGAAAAGAAACAAAGCACAAACAATGTTTGTTTACTCTTCCCTTTTTTAAGAACAGAACACAATGCTTAGAAATTTCAACATAACTTTTTAAGATAGCAATAAAAGAGTTGTGATTTGGATCCCACCACATCCCTCAGATCCTTACTCAGAACAGCAAATCAAGAAATATTTTGAAATTGTACCACAGTGAAGTAGAACTTAATTAACTGGAAAGTAGAAAAGCAGCAGCTAAAAAAAAGATGTATCATTAGAGTAAGAAGGCAAGTTATGAAGGAAAAGTTCATATCAGCAAAGTCACTGATCAGATGAAGAACATGAGAAAATAGGAAGAAAGTCATGGATAAAGCTGCTGAGAAGTTAACACACTTTGTGCTACTCCTCTGGCTCTCTAAAGACATTAATCCCATTCTAATACACATTTTTACTTTTAAGTCATTTAGGGTAGTACACTGCACACTTCAGAAACGGTCTGATTCTCAGAAGTGCACTACATCAGTTCCCATGATTGCGATGGGATGTGTATGCAGTCTGAAATTCAGGCCACCAAGACATCCAAGGCTTCGACAGGAGACACCCACTGAACTCTTTTTTGTTTTATAACTGTCAGCAATCCAACCCACCCCACAACAGGGCAGGATGTACTCTACTAAACAGTAAAACTACTAAGCAGTACTTTGGAAACCTTGTTGTTAATGTTTCAAAACCAGAACACAACATAGGATTTTTCCTACAAAAACTGCTAATGATATCACACAATCATTCAAACATTACATTGAAACCATATAACCCATGATCCCACTCAATGACTATTTGTTGTTTAAACTTCTTTCTGAAACGTTTGCATCCAGGATGAAAAGTCAAAGTAATGAAAATCCTACAGTTTTTATCAACTTCCAAAAACAACAGACATTATCATTTCCTGTATTATTTTGGGGATGATGGGAATGAGATACAAGATATCTAAGACTTTCAATTAAATTCAAAATGGCATTCTAACTTCCCTTCTAATTTGAAAATTTCAAAGAAAAGTTCAGGTCCTCCAAACACAACTTCAGAAACCCAGACATAAAATTCCCTGCCACTTGTTACATGCAAACGTATCTTAATACTCAACAGGAAATAAAATCACATTGGTGTTTTTAAATTTAATTCTGTAAAATTATTGCACTGTGAGTTGTCTGTACATTGTTCTACTTTAAGTTTGGAAATATTTTTACTTCTGTTTTTGAAATTTTACTGTTTCCTGGGATTCCTTAAATAAAACTGATCTGCCCTAAAATGTTACTATTAGCATATTGTATCATATACCAAGAGAGATAAATTTTAACCATGATGATATAACTGTCAGTTTGGATAAGCATTTGGAAACATCTTTGTCCTTCTATGCGTCTCCTCCTATTCTCTCCTTTAAGCTCCAAACTATGTGAATGGCACTGGAATCCCATCTTGTGCGAGGCTAAAGAGAGAGGGACCTCAAGTCTCAGTGTGCTGGTTACTACCACAACATAAGCAAATAGTTTAATTTTCCCTAATGTAATACATACTCCATGCTAACTAAATCATAACATCAGCATATTGTAAACAACCTTGGAATGCAAGGCATCCCTCACCCCTGCCAGCACATCAACCATTGGCCTTGTTATTCTTTTTGTTTTATTGTGGTGTTTCTTTGGAGGCAATGGGTAAGCACACAGTGAATAAAATAATTCTCACAAAAGTTTACAACAAATCGCATACCTCTTCCAACTCCTTCCAAATATTGTCACATTCCTTCAAGAGTTCTTTCTTGACATCTACAGGACAAACTTCACTGGTGGTTTCTTCATTGGTAGATTCTGCATAGAATCTGATGGTTTCCTCCTAATTATAAGCAAACAGAACAGTTACTGTGTATATCTACAATAATTACCAGTTACAGAATCATACCTGCCACTTCAGGTCAAATATGCAACAGAACAATCATCCTGAATGCAAAGCTTTCACTTAACCCCCTGTAGTTCTAGATAGCACCCAATCATTACGTAAAATCAGCTAACTATATGACTATAGCAAAATTAGAAGACCCTAATTATTTACTTTTAAAATTGAATCACAAAATACTGAATTTTCAAAACTTCTTTGATTACCTGCAATGGCTTTTTTGTTTTTCAACAACTTTAATAGAGAAACAATAAGAGAATCTCACATCTACAAAGCCATGCTTTTCCTCCATATATCTGCAAAATTCTTAAGCAGTTACTTCTACTCTGTCTTCCAATAAATGTCCAAATCTATTTCTCCTTCATTAGAATTCAGAATATTTTTGATTAACAAATTAAAGCATCTTCAAAATTACTAGAAAAACAAACAAAAGAATCTGAAAAATATACAGGCAACCAAGGAAAGAGGGTACCGGGACATCTGAGAGAAAAATCAACCCAAGTTAAATTAAAAACCTTGAGAAACTGTTAGGTCAGAGAGAAACACACACAGATTCAGAAATTTACTCCTAGTTGAATCTATTAAGAGATACCCAAATGACAACAGCAGCTAAGAGGGGAAACACAAGAAGGGTCAAAATGGCAAAGAAAAGTTTTTTCCCCAAGCTAAAACATCCAACAGGATGTGTTGTCCAGATATACTAGATGCAGGCAGCCTTTAAAAATGCTTAAGTGGATCACTAAGTCCACAACACACATGTAGATTAAAGAGACTAAAAAAGGTAAAGATCTAAAGGATCTAAATACATCTCTTAATAATGCACAAATTCCTAACTCAACCTCTTGTTCATTTTCAGAACAAAAACACTACATCAGAGAAAAATATGTCGAAAACCCAAATAAATGAAATGGAGTCAAATATTCAGCTAGTACTCCCAAAGTTCAAGTATGCCATAGCAGAGTGGATGAGAAAAAATCAAATATCTCACTGAATGCTGGAACAATTCTAGAGTACTGAAAGGTAGCAATACTTCTACTAATCTTCCTGGGTAATTTATTGCATCGATAATTAAAATCAGAGCCCTAGAAAATCTAGGTTGCTGTAATCTGGTAAAGTCTAAAGAGCACAGTTTTTCAAAGGAAAATCGTTATCTTCTTAAAAGCCTTGGAATGTTTTCATAATATAAAAGAGAACTAGTTCACATAATTTATTAAGACTTCTGAAATGCCTCAAGCAGACTGCCAGAAGAAACTAAGAAAGAAACTAAACAGCCTTGAGATGTAATGTACCTTTTTTCACAGACAAAAAAAACTGTCAAGGAGATAAACAAAGGGGATGTGGGGGGTGAGGGGGGAAAGGGTTGAAAAGGGTTTTGGGTGGAATAAAAAAGCCACATTCCCCCCACTGTTTCTGCAATAGTGCAATTCATCATAAAAGCATTTTATGAAATAAAACTCTGAATACACAGTCAGGAAAAAACCCACTGTAAGAAAAAAAATGATGAAATGATTCTATTCTTGACTTCAAATTTCTAGATCTATTTCACACAATGTTTCATAATGTACATATTGTGAGATATGACAAGCAAGCCAAATTGACTTGAGATCCTTAATGCTGTGCTCTTACATAGTGCACACACTGCAGTATCATATTCAGATGGTTTTTTCTTGTAGCTTGCAGTTTTTCTTATGTATGGTTAAATTTAGGTTTCTATTTTTACACCATACCAGAAAACTGAAGGCTTTTTTGGCATGTCATGACTATTAACACATTCCAGTTTCAATATGTTATTCCTTCTGATCTTGTTTGAGGACTACATAACTAGGTAAAAACTATATGCGGGGCCAAGTGTGCATTGTAGACCCTATGCCAGCCAACCAAACAGGCAAGCTTTAGGAAAGCGACAGAATCACGTAATCGGTCAGATTAGGAGGGACCACAGAGGGTCATCTGGTCCCAACTCCCTTTTCCTAGGGCACGTTGCACAGGATTGCGTCCAGACGGTTTCTGATTTATTTCCAGTGAGAGACTGCACGCCCTCTGGGCAACCTATTCCAGTGCTCGGTCACCCACACAGTAGAGATGTTCTTCAAACTCAGATTACTGCCCATTGCCTCTTGTCCTACAGCTTGGTACCCCCGAAAAGAGCCTAGATCCACCCCTCTGGCACCCTCCCTTCAGATACTTACAGACACTCATAATCTGAAATGCGTCATGTGCCCAAACACAACACGACCAACTACGGGAAGTACTCAGGGAGCAGAGAGGAAAGTAACCGCGGCCGCGGGACAAAGGCAGGAAGGCGGGAATTCACCATAGGAGGGACAACCGATGTAGGACAGAAAAAACACCGCAAAAGCGATGATAGAAAAAAAGGAGAAGTGAGACAGGGAGCCCCCGCCCGACCCGAGTGGGGGGGAGGCACAAGGCGGGAAGTCTCCCCTCACGGGCGAGGGGGGAACGCCGCCCATTCCCAGGAGGGAAAAGCCAGCGCGTCCACCGCAAGGCAGCCGCACGCCACAGCGGCCGCGATCCCACCCCGGCCCCGCGGTGCCCGAGCGGCAGGGCCATTCCGTCATCCCGGGATCCCGCTGGGAACCCGCTGGGAACCCGCCGGGATCTCCCGCCGCTCCCAACCGTTATTACCATGGCTGCTCCGCGCGCGCCGATCCTCACCCTGTGCGTCACTGGCCCACAGCCGGGGGCGGGGCGCGCCGGGGGCGGGCGCGCGCGCCGGGGCGGGGCGCGCGCCGGGGGCGGGGCGCGCGCCGGGGCGGGGCGCGCGCCGGGGCGGGGCGCGCGCCGGAGGCGGGGCGCGCGCCGAGGCGGGGCGCGCGCCGGGGCGGGGCGCGCGCCGGGGGCGGGCGCGCGCGGGAGCAGGGCGCGCGCCGGGGACGGGGTGTGACGTTGCAACATGGCGGCGGCCGAGCAGCATGGCAAGAGGAGTGCTCCGGAGAATGAGAACGACGAGGAGGAGCTCTGGGTCGGGCCGCTCCCGGGTGAGGCCGCGCAGGCGAAGAAGAGGAGAGGTAATGGAGGAGCGGAGCGTCCAACGGCCGGCCCCTGCGCTGGGGAGCGCTGCCCCGGGCCGGGTCCAGAGCGGCGGGAGCGGCCCCGGGGGAAGGGTGGATGGGCCCATGTGTTCTGGAGCGGGGTCTCCCGTGCGAAATGGCCACACTGCGGGGGAACCCTTCAGGTGCGGGGCCATCAGGGGCTGAGAAAATTGGAGCTGTTCAGCCCGGAGAGGAGAAAGTTGCTCAGAGAGCTCAGAGCAGCCTTCCAGTGTCTGAAAGGGTTTACGGGGAAAACGGAGAGGGACTCTTCGTCAGGAACTGTAGTGACAGAACAAGGAGTAATGGGTTCAAATTGAAAAAGGGAAAGTTTAGGTTAAATATTAGGAAGAAAATCTTCATTGTGGTGGTGGTGAGATACTGGAACAGGTTGTCCAAGAAGGTTGTGGATGCCCCAACCGACAGTGTTCAAGTCCAGGCTGGAAAAAGCCTTGAGCAGCCGGGTCTAGTGGGAGAGGTTGGGAGAAGGTGATCTTTAAAGTTCTTTCCAACCCTTTAACATTCTGTGATTCTGTGATTTCTACTTCCTCTGGTGGACATAATCAGGCTCAGAGCGCCTGCTGTGCAGACTGAAGCCTTGCTTTTTAGGGCTTATGTTTTCTGGATCATTGTTTTCTGGATCATTGTTTTAAAATGGATATGCCTCTAGGCTGTATTTTGAGGCATGGTATTGATGACTGCAGCAACTATCAGGTTTCCATTGTAAAGTAAATTTACCTCTAATGATGTTCAGCCCACGGAGGTTCAGTAACAAATGCCATTTGCAGGTGTGAACAGGGTGTAAAAATCAGAAGCCAAAATCAGATTATTTTTGGTGGGCCAATTAAACAGTGAAAGAGATAGGTGTCAGCACTTGAACTTTAAACTATAAGACCTGGATGGGACCACGAATCTCTTAACCACAGGAATACATTTTGTTTTGGAATAAAATGAGGTGGACCTTCTGTTTTCTGGAAGTAACTTAAAAATTGTTGATTTTTATTTTTTTTATACATTAAGACAGCTGAGGTAATAGTTGCTTTAAAAGGGAAAAGCAATATGAGTTAAAGCAGAGTTTGAGTGGTTTTAGTCCACTAAAAGTTTGTTTATAAAAGTTTGTCTGAGTGCAAAGCCAGATCTAAAAGCCCTTTTATTATGTTTGCACAAAATTACAGCGTATTTTAGACTAAAATATGAATAAGCAATTCAAGTAAGGGAGAACAGAAGCTGTACCTTTATGGGAAAAAAACCACCTTCCTGTTTTTTTCTTTTTATTCTGTATAGTTCTTGAATTTGAACATGTTTACCTTGAAAATCTACCGTCTGCTTCAATGTATGAACGCAGTTACATGCACAGAGATGTCATTACACACGTAGCATGTACTAAGTAAGTATCTTTTTTTCCATGCTATTTCTTTGTCAGGGATATATTTTTATATATGATAAGAAGTTTTCATTTTAGATGTTTAGTAATGGAAAGTTACAGTGTCCTGAAATGCTATTTTAAAAGTTTTGTTGGTTTTTTTTTTTAAACTAAGTGCAAAGGAAAGGGTTACCTTAGAAGGAAGATAAAAAATGTTTACATAGACTAAAGGAGGGTCTTAAAATCCTTATAAAAATGTGCATGATATACAGGAATAAGATTGACTGACTGCCTCTGAAGAAGCACCATTCAGCAGAACTGCAGAGATCACACGCGCGCCCGCACACACACACATAAATAGTAGCTACTGTGAACTAAAATAGTAGTTATATTTACATATTAAAAAAGGATAGTGTTATGATTTTTCAGGGTGTTAACTTTTCATAGATTATTCCAGAATGCCTTTCCAGGAGTGCTAGTTCCCATTCAGACAGATTGTCACAGTAATTTCTTGAAAGTTCATCCTCTACAGAGTATTAATTCTAGTGCAAATTACTGAGCAGTGGGAAACTGCATAACGTGTTATGTCTTTTCTTGTTTTTCATTGTAGGACAGATTTTATCATAACAGCCAGTCATGATGGACATGTAAAATTCTGGAAAAAAATAGAAGAAGGGATTGAGTTTGTTAAACACTTCCGAAGCCACCTGGGTGAGAAGTTGCTTTTCTTCTTTAAAGAACCTCACTTTTTCCTCCCCACTGATTTTGTTGTTTGAAGAGGGAGTGCAAATAGAGAGACAGATTCTGGGGTTCATTTAGTACAGTCAGGAATTAATTGATATCTAGCTGTCTTCCTTCATTCCTCTGTCCTGTAATGTTTTGCTCCCAAACTGCAGGAGGGATAGGGTGAGAATAAACCACGTAGGACTCTGCTTGCACAGATCCCCTACATCCTTTGCATTGCCTTGTGCCCTGCCTATGGGGAAAATATCTGGGATATAACTTAACAAGGCACATAACAGGATTCATAAAATCCAGAGAAGTTTAAAAATATGTTGCTTTAAATAAGTTTGTACTTTTTCCCCCTTGTAGTAAGGAAAAAAGTGTGGTTTTTTCATCTAGAGTTATTGTAACTGTAGAGTAAATTCTACATTATTGTTACGATCACCGGCTGAATTGCAATTAAGAGTAATTTTAACCCAATTTTCTAAGCTAATAAGTACATAACGTTCTTCAATGCTATGCTGAGTGTAAATAGGCTGAACAGAAAATGAGGTTCTTGATGGTGTTGGAAACTATCATATACCTGAAGGAAAAAAACATCAGTTTGATATGCTTACTGTTACCGTAAGTAAAATATTTAATAATAGGTAGTAAAAGTACTGTTTCCTTTTAGATTTGCAAGAAATATTAAAGTAGGTTCTTAACTGTCAGGTTCTCATTATATACAAAAACAAAATGTGAAAACAAAATTTGCCAGGCAAAAATAAGCATTATGAAAAATTTATGGAAGGCTCAGTTGCAGCGTAATTTTGAATATTGCATGTGTAATAGTCTCTAGAGTTCTGCTGCTTTTACTCTGCTGAGAAATGGAAGCTGAAGAGCACCTAATTTTTACTACAGCATAATATTCTCAATTTTATAAAATCAACATTTTAAATTGAAGTAATTGCCATTATAATCTTTCCCTTATGTAGTAGTTCATTTTCATATACCTCAGTCAAAACACTGACAGGATACAAAGTGGTGTTCTGTTTTGGTTTTTTTTTATAGTAATTTTCTAGATTCAAGTAGTGTTTTAAGTAAAAATGGTAGCAAAGCAGTTGGGAGGCTTACACTTCAGTAGGTTTTTTTCCTATGTAACATTGAAATGAAGGCTGTCCTTTCTCATTTCTTAATAGTATGTTAACTTTATTAACAGGTGTTATTGAGAGCATTGCTGTTAGTTCAGAGGGAGCATTGTTCTGTTCAGTTGGAGATGACAAAGCAATGAAGGTGTTTGATGTAGTCAACTTTGACATGATCAACATGCTGAAACTTGGGTAAGTTACTTAGTTTGGAAGTGTTTGTTTGGGATTATAAATGGGGGTCATTTTGCTAAGAGGTAAGTCAATAATTTGGAGGTTTTGATGTTTCTCCCCCACTCCCCCAAAGTCAGTTGAAGCTGAGTAAATTTCATTGTCTGAAATGAATCCAATGGCTGGAGACTGCCTGACTAAATAGAAAAAATTGTGAATGTCTGCAACACTACAAGAGAGGAGTAGGAAAGGCATTTCCTGAGTCTCAAATGTTATGCCCAAAGATATGGTGTTTCTCCAAATCATAGAATCATAGAATAGATTGGGTTGGAAAAGACCTCCAAGATCATCAAGTCCAACCCCTGATCCAACTCTAATTACTATATCATGGCACTAAGGGCCATGTCCAATCTCTTTTTAAAAACTTCCAGGGATGGTGAATCCACCACCTCTCTGGGCATTCCAATGCCTGATCACCCTCTCTGTAAAGAATTTCTTCCTAACATCTAACCTAAACTTCCCTTGGCAGAGCTTGAGCCCATGTCCCCTTGTCCTGTTATTGATTGCCTGGGAGAAGAGACCAACCCCCACCTGGCTATAAATTCCCTTCAGGTAGTTGTAGAGAGTGATGAGGTCACCTCTAAGCCTTCTCTTCTCTAGACTAAACAATCCCAGCTCCCTCAGCCTCTCCTCATAGGACTTGTGCTCAAGTCCCTTCACCAGCCTTGTTGCTCTTCTCTGGACCCGCTCCAGCACCTCAGTATCTTTCCTGAACTGAGGGGCCCAGAGCTGAACACAATACTCAAGGTGCAGCCTCACCAGCACTGAGTACAGGGGAAGGATCACTTCCCTGCTCCTGCTGGCCACACTGTTCTTGATGCAGGCCAGGATGCCATTGACCTTCTTGGCCACCTGAGCACACTGCTGGCTCATGTTCAGCTTCCTGTCAATCAGCACCCCCAGGTCCCTTTCTACCTGGCTTTCCATCCTTAGGCTGATCACTGGAGAGCCCGGTTTCAACCCCTTCCCCCTTCAAACCTAGTTTAAAGCCCTCCTAATCAGCCTCGCTAACTTATGGGCTACAGTCCTCTTCTTCTTCCTAGAAAAGATGAATCCCATCTGATTTTAAGAGACTAGGTACCATGGAGTTTGCCCCATGGCCAAAGAAACCAAAATTTTGATGGTGGCACCAATTCTTTAGCCATCTGTTGAGGAGTTGGGCTTTTTTACTCCTCTCTTTATTTAACTCCTCATCCATCCCAGATAGTACAGGAACTGAGGCAAATATCACCTGTGCTCCTGTCCCCTGAACTGACCGACCCAGTGCTTTAAAGTCTTTTTTAATTATCTTGGCACTTCTTCGATTAATGTCCTCACTGCCAGCCTGGACTATCACCAGAGGATAATAGTCTGAGGGCTGAATTAACTCAGGAAGTCTCCTACTAATATCCCTCACCCTGGCCCCAGGAAGGCAGCATACTTCTCTCTGGGATGGGTCTGGGCGACATATAGGGTCCTCAGTTCCCCTCAGAAGGGAGTCACCGACTACAACTACCCTTCTTTTTTTTTTTTTATACCTGTGGTTGTAATCCGTCTTTTGGACAGGGCCAAACAAGGAGGCTCTCTAGAGGGATCATCTTGGCTGTCCTCTACCTGACTGGGTCCAGAGTCTCGTATCTATTCTTCAAGGGCACCCTGAGGGGTGATGGGGGTCTAGAAAGAATTCTTCTACCTCTCCCACTGGGGACCTGTTTCCATTCCCCCCCATCATTTTGGTCTGCCCCATCTGTCTTATGGCAGGAGAGGCAGGGCTTTGCCGTCTCCTGTTGGACTTCCTTAGGGTTTAAAAGGGTTTGACTCCACCAGTCAATTTCCTTTTCACTCTCCCTAATGCACCTTAATCTCTCTACCTCTTCCTTAAGTTCTGCTACCAGGCACAGCAAATCACTCACCTGCTCACATCGTACACAGCTACCTCCTACACCATCCTCCGGTACCAACGTCAGGCTCAGACACTCAGCACAACCAGAGACCTGGGTGGCTGCATCCTTCTTCGAGGGGAGTGTCTGAGCAAACACACTCCTAGTATTAACAGCAGTAACGGTTTTTGTTTTTCTGGAAACCATTGTTAGCTTTAAAAAGCACACTCACCTACAAGAAGGGGGAGCTGGTTGTGCCTTGCAGGCTTGAAATGCCTTGAAATTGTTGTGCCACCCCCTGTTAGTCTACTCCTGTGGGGGTGGCTCCTGGAGGTTCTTATATAGCCTCCCCAGCACTTGCTAACGAGCCTGACCCACCCCTCACTCACCTTAATCGGCTCTGAGGAAGAGTCAAGCTTGGGCAGCAAATGGCTGAGTAGTTCTCCTGGAGGTTTTTATATAGCCTCCCCCAGCACTTGCTAACGAGCCTGACCCACCCCTCACTCACCTTAATCAGTCTCTGAGGAAGAGTCAAGCCTGGGCAGCAAATGGCTAGCAAATGTTTAGCCAGGCATTTTTTTTTTTTTCTGTTGTTTGGCACTAAATTTAAAAATTTACAGTCCACTAATAGTTCCATTAGAGAAGGGATTTGGCCTGTATGTATTTTCTTATTTGTTGTCATAGGGTACGGATTTCCTTCCTCTGCTAGAAACAATGTAGTTGTTTTCCTTCCTCTTGCTCTTTTAGCATTTTTGTAATTGCATAGTTTGTAGCTAAAGGATCTGGGAGAAATAAGAATGGATGTTACTGGACTATAATAATACCAGAGAAAGACAAGCCCTACATTGTTACAAGGGTGGGTTTGAAGGTTTGGAGGATCAATGAATGCTGCATCAAGAATGGTAGAAATACTGATTTTTTCACAAGTCTTTTGGCATTGAAAAACTTATTCCTCGTAGGCTTCTATTTTCTGTTTAATTGTGAAACTGAATAGAAGTAAAAACTCAGAGAAAAAAGCTTATGCTATCTTCTTTGCTAGTTACAGTTTTAGTATCATCCTCCAGATAATGTACTTAGCCTATAGGAATTGATTCTCTCTTGGCTGTCTGCTGTGGAAAAATTCCAGTTTTTTGGTTTTGCTGGTATTTTCTACTTAGCAGCCTGGTGCTGTCTCTACAAAATTGGTAAAATTATACATAAGCCAAAAAGAGAAAAAAAGGTATTACAATAGAGGATGCCTTTTCTTGTTGTTGCTTAAGACAAATGGGGAAAATGAGGTAAAATTTAAATCAGGTTTGCCTCAGGAATCATAGAATCATAGAATCAGCTGGGTTGGAAAGGACCTCTGAGATCATCAAGTCCAACCCTTGATCCACTACCACCGCAGTTACTAGACCGTGGCACTCAGTGCCACATCCAGTCTCATCTTAAAAACCTCCAGGGACGGTGAATCTACCACCTATCTGGGCAGCCCATTCCAATGCCTGATCACTCTCTCTGTAAAGAACTTCTTTCTAATATCCAACCTAAACCTCTCCTGACAGAGCTTAAGCCCGTGCCCTCTTGTCCTATTGCTGATTGCCTGGGAGAAGAGACCGACCCCCACCTAGCTACAACCTCCTCTCCGGGAGTTGTAGAGAGTGATGAGGTCTCTCCTGAGCCTCCTCTTCTCCAGACTAAACAACCCCAGCTCCCTCAGCCTCTCCTCACAGGACTTGTGCTTGAGTCCGTTCACCAGCCTGGTTGCTCTTCTCTGCACCCGCTCCAGCACCTCAATGTCCTTCCTGAACTGAGGGCCCAGAGCTGAACACAGCACTCCAGGTGTGGCCTCACCAGCACTGAGTACAGGGGAAGGATCACTGCCCTGCTCCTGCTGGCCACACTGTTCCTGATCCAGGCCAGGATGCCATTGGCCTTCTTGGCCACCTGGGCACACTGCTGGCTCATGTTCAGCTTCCTGTCAATCGGCACCCCCAGATCCCTTTCCACCTGGCTGCTCTCCAGCCACTCTGTGCCCAGCCTGTAGCACTGCAGGGGTTGTTGTGGCCAAAGTGCAGGACCCGGCACTTGGCCTTGTTGAGAATTCTGCAAGAATGTTACCAATAACATTTTTCTGTAGTAGATTCCCTGATTTATCTTTAAGTAGATTTTTTCCAACCTCAGTAATCAAGATCCCTGTGCTTTATGCTTCCATCAGTGATCTGAAGAAGGCTGGCTATTTCTGCAGAGACTTCATACTTATTTATTTGATCCTGTTCTTTCTGGTGAACCTGAGATGAAGTCCTGGTTATGTTTCTCTTTACCAGACAGACATTGAAAATCCAAATTATTAGTGTCTGTCATAATAGTGTCCTTTAGCATCTGTTAGTTTGATTTGTGAAAGGATACTAAATACGAGTTTCCTATGGAGACCATATCATTGCTTTGAGGTCTGCTATTTAGTTTTAATTTCTGGTTCTCAAAATCTTTGCTTACAGACTGTAAAACAGACATAACATATTATTGAACATATTTCTGTCTTATTTTATTTGTGGAATGTGTTTTTGAAAGTAGCAGATGAGTTCCTTCTTAGATGCATGATGCATTCATGAATTTTATTGAATATAAGGGGATTGTCTTAATTTTGTTTATATCACTTTTTTTTTTTTTTTGGCAAGATCTAGTTGAACTTTTCTGTAATTGTGTAGCAGAGCTGCAGTTGTTTTCATATCTGCTGAAGCATTAATACCTTAACAAATGGAGGAGAATATTTCAACTCTTATCTAACATCATTCCTTACTTCTTTATTTCATTTTTTCTCCTTCCGCTCTGTGTTGCAGCTACCACCCTGGCCAATGTGAATGGATATATTGCCCTGGAGATGCCATATCTTCTGTTGCAACATCCGAGAAGAGCACAGGAAAAATATTCATATATGATGGCCGAGGAAATAACCAGCCACTTCATGTTTTTGATAAAGTCCATAATTCCTCACTTACTCAGATACGGCTGAACCCTGTCTACAAAGTAGTTGTGTCTTCTGGCAAGTCTGGGATGATTGAGTACTGGACTGGTACACCTCACGAATATAAATTCCCCAAGAATGTGAACTGGGAGTATAAAACAGATACTGATCTATATGAATTTGCTAAATGCAAGGCTTACCCATCCAGTATAAGTTTTTCATCTGATGGCAAGAAAATGGCAACTCTTGGGTCTGACAGAAAAGTTAGAATTTTTCGTTTTCTGACAGGGAAGCTCATGAGAGTCTTTGACGAATCTCTCAGTGTGAGTTTTGTCTTGTTTCTCTTTTCTTTGAGACATTTTCTTTACTTATTTGAATTTATTTGCCAGCATATTCACCTAAGTTATCATTTGTTTCTAAAGGCAAACTTCCTTCCTATCTTTTTCTTGCAGAAAAGGCCTTCCATGTTCTCTTCCTAGCCCCTTGTATTGCTTTGTCCCAAATGAATTCTTACAGATTTGTTACTTACATAGTGAAACAGAGGTGTTGATTTTCGTCTGTATTTTCATTTTACTAGAAAGCAATTACAGAGAATTTCAAATAATATCACACACCTTTCTTTGCTTTAGCCTAGTCCTACAACATGCCTATTGCATCGTGAAAATAAAGAAAGCGTTCTCCCAGCTGAGCTTTGAATTTTAAAATCTCTTTAATGTAATTATAACTCTAAAGAAGAGCATATAGGATGTAGGTTTGTATGCCATTTAACTCTTTGGCCATTTTGTTGTGAAATAAAAGTTGTGAATGACAAAGTGCTGCTCAGCAAGAACTGGGACTATAACCTTGTCTGTTCCTTTAGTTATATCACTGGTGCTGTTTTTCATAAGATAGTCTGGAGTGTCATTAAAACCCAAGTTAATGTTACTTGTCACAGCTAGAGTAACACTACAGTTATGGACTCAGCCATTTTCTCATTACTGGGAAAATGGGTGACTGTAAACTTGTCAGTGTAGATCTACCTTGGCTACTAATGCATTTCATAAAGACAGCAGAACAGCTACCACAAAGAATTTTCTCTCTGGTAGGATTTCTCAGAAATAAAAAATCAAGTCACAGAGACTGAAGGGGTTGTACCTTTTTTTCTATGAACAGTAAGATTCCATATCTTCACCAAACAATGTTATTAGCAAGTAGAAGGAAAACTGACTCTGCTGACTGCAAGTTCTATAATATTAAAACATTTTACAGTTTTACTTGTATGCAACACTGGACACCTTGCATGTATATCTTAAAAGAAGTGTAGAGGTAAAAGAGTGAACAACTTTCTGCTTATGAAGCATACACAGTTTATATACAAAATTAGTAGTCTTAAGGGAGAGCCGCTGGAGAGCCTCTAATCAATTGTTCCTTGAACTAGGCCTTGAGGAGATAATTTGTTTTCTGTCATGGTTTAACTCCCAGCCAGCAACTAAGCCCCCCCACAACTGCTTGCTTGCATCCGTCTTGTGGGGATGGAGAGAGATTCGAAGAGTAGGAATGAGAAAACTTATGGGTTGACATGGAGACAGTTTAACTGGGAAAGCAAAAGCCATGCACACAAGCAAAACAAGGAATTAATTCACCACTACCCATGGACAGGCAGGTGTTCCACCATTTCCCAGAAAACAGGGGTCCATCACATATTACTTGGAAAGGCATCACTCCGACTGTCCCCCACTTCTTCCCTCAGCTTTGATACGCTGAACATGATGCTGTATGGAATTGAGTGTCCCTATGGTCAGTTGGGGTCAGCTGTCTCAGCTCTGTCCCCTTCCAACTCATTGTGCAGCCCCAGCCTTCTCACTGGTGGGGTGGGGTGAGGAGCAGAAAAGGCCTTGGCACTGTGCTGCTCAGCAACAGCTTAAACATTCCTGTGTTGTCAACACTGCTGCTGCCTTCCTGTGTAACCATTCAGCGTTGTACACAACTTTTTGCTTTCAGCTCTGGGTTTGAGAAGGTGGAGATCTGTTATTTCCCTATTTGATGAAAGCCCTTTCTACACTGAGCTGAAACACTGTTCAGCACAACAGCATCTTAGTCTCAGCTGACATAGTTATGGCCTTGTCACCAGACAAATATTTACTGTACCCTTTGTTTTCTGTTATATTATTTTAGGTGCCCCAAAACAGTGGAAAACTTCTGTGTGCACAGCAGGAATGGCTATTACAATGGACACGTAATTCACCGTATCATCAAGGTAACTTGTAGCAAGTTAATCTTTTGTTGGTTTAGATAATGTACCCTAGTGGTCAGTCGTCTTTGCTAACCCCTTCATTCCCTTTTTGCAAAGAGGATTTTTGAGTGGCTTTAGAATTCCCTATAAAGTCTTAACAACTCTGATATTCTAAACAGCTTAATCACTTACTGAAGTTGTTTAATAGTTTTACTGCAACTAAAAGAAAGCTGAAAACTGAATGGTAAGTTCATTTATCCTGCTTGAATTAAGACTTTATTTCATGTCAGAGGGTATTTCTTGTAAGGCTTCTTATTTCGGCTGCACCAGAATACAGCCAAAGTGTTTGCAGAAGGTACAGTCAGGTGTCTCTTATCCACAGAATTTTAACACATTTTGTTGCAAGGTTTGAAGTAGGTTTGAAAATATGTCACCTGGCATAAAACACTTAATTCTTTATTCTATGCAACTATTACATAACACATAATTTCTATGCAGGGTTTCATGATTCAGACTGGTGACCCAACTGGTACAGGACTGGGAGGTGAAAGTATTTGGGGAGGAGAATTTGAAGATGAGTTTCATTCAACTTTACGACATGACAGACCATACACACTCAGCATGGCTAATGCAGGACCAAATACCAATGGATCCCAGTTTTTTATAACAGTAGTGCCAACTGTAAGTAATATTAAAACCTGAATTTAAGGCATGAGAGGCTAACTCAACAGTAAAAAATAGGTTTTCTGATGGAAAAAGGATCACAGCAGTACTATCTAAATAATCTTTCCTTAATATTTTGCAAAAATATGCTGCACACCATGATGTATATACTGTGCAGAGTTCACTGAAACTGTCCTTAAGAAATAGAAAAGTATTTCTGTGAGTTGTAAACAAGAGACCTTTTGCCTTTAATTGGAACAAGGGTGATAAAACATTCTTAGGCATGTTTGCAAATTATGTGGTTTAGTAACAGTGATGGAAATCTAGGTATTGTGTAGATTGTTTAAGGTTTGGATATAGTGCCAAGATGTCTCATTAAGTGTAGCTAATAATTGTAGCTATACAAAGATGGCAGTGTTCAAGTTTGAAGATCTCCTTTGATCTGTGTATAATTTCAGAGCCAAAAATAGAAATTTTGGTATGTGAGTCTAAGAGATACAAGACAATTTCTTAAAGGTAACATTCAAAAGAACTGTACTCTTAAACAGTTATTCAAAATCCTGTCTTTTTTTTTTTTTTTTTTTTTAAAGCATGTATCTGCCATAGTTTTGAGGTTTATTAAATTCTGTCAGTGTCTGTATTCAAATTGGGCATACTCTATGAATACAACTTCAAATTAAGTATTATTCTGGACTGGCACTTTAAATTCCTCTGTGAAAATAGAGAGACTGAAACAGCGTGGCTGTGAACTGAGAATACATTTTAAAATAAACTATACAATGCTACCACACTGGTAGAACGTGACCTCTGTAGCACTTTAGAAAACAATTGAAAAGATAAGTTCAAATGCATATGAATGTGTGCTAACTGCACTCCAGTATTTACTTTGCATGCTGGTATTTACGTGGTGTTAGATTCCATAGTCTGGACATACAAAATGTATCCATGTGTAGTTACTCTCTTTCTGTTTTGGTACCTAACCTACATGCTGCTTTTTGTATTAACATGCTTTTTCTTTCTCCTCCTCTGCTCTCTAACAGCCATGGCTAGACAACAAGCACAGTGTGTTTGGACGGGTGACCAAAGGAATGGAAGTTGTTCAGAGAATATCAAATGTAAAAGTCAATCCAAAAACTGACAAGCCCTATGAGAATATCAGCATCATTAATATCACAGTGAAGTAAGGCAGGTGTTGAAGGTTTCATCTTAAGCAGAAAAAAATGAATGTATGGGACCCAAAAAGGGACCTAGAAAGAACAAAAACCTTTTTAATAATTCCAAGGCGTAGTGAGTACCAGGACCGAGCAATCACCAGTTCAACAATTTTTAATGTACCTAAAGTGCCCTAATTCTGCATTTCTGATAACTTTGTATTTTAAAGTAAAAACATATGCACGTTTCTTACGAACTCCACTATCTTTCTTCATCTTCCATGCAAAACTAAAAACCCACACTGTGTCCCATGATAGTGTTTGTAACTTCATCAGGTTTATTTTTAATGAATTCTTATTTTAATACTTTTCACAGTATTGAAATCTTTGACAGAGGAAAAGGTCAGAAATCCTAAACTGCATTAACTCTTCAATCCTATGTCCATGTATCAAAAATTTGATTAGGTTATGATACTGTTTGCTATGACAAGCAAACAGTGTAATCTACCTTGATTATTTAAAACCAGTTGTGTCCATGTCTTTTCTGTCCAAGAGCAATGATCAGCTCTTAGAATGCCAATGTAAAAAGTCCTGTGCAATTTGTTTGGTGTTGCCAATTAATTTTTTTGTCTTTCAGTGTTTTCTTTCTCATTATTTTAGCATAGGGAGTCTCTTATCTGGCTTCATTTTTACTGGAAATCCTATGAACATGACTGCTTCTACTGAAATGCTTAGTTTAAAATAAATTATGGTAATTCACACTGTCTCTGTGTCGTCTTTGTGGGTCACAGCTGCGGGTGAGCAGCTTGGAGCCCTTGCTATTGCCTAACTTTCCACCTCACAGGGCAATCTGCAAGAACCCTCTCGCTAGTCTGCTCCCTTCCCAAAGAGCAAGGCTGCGACAAATGTCAACAAAGCTTTATGTCAGGTCATTCTGATGCAGTTATAGAACACAATAATAGAATCAATAAAGTTGAAAAAACCCTGTAAGATCACTAGATCCAACCATTAACCCACCACCACCACCACCATCTTCACCATTAAACATATACCACAGCCATATGTTTTCTGAACACTTCTAGGGATGGTGACTCCACCACTTCCTGGGCACTCTATTCCAATGCTTGACCACATGTCAGTGAAGAAATTTTTCCTAATATCCAACAGTAATTTCAGGGGTCCTCTCGTCATGTCACTTGTTATCTGGGAGAAGGCACCAACACACACCTGTCCACACTTCCTTCTAGGGAAGCTGTAGAGAGCAATAACATCTCCCCTGAACCTTCTTTTCTCCTCAGCAACTCCTAGGAAGACGTGTGCTCCAGGCCTTTCACCAGCTTTGATGCTCTTCTCTGGACATGCTCCAGCACCTCAGTGTCCTTGTAGTGAATGACCAAAAGTGAACACAGGATTCAAGGTGTGGCCTCACCAGTGCTGAGTATAAAAGGGCCAACCAGTGCCCTGGTCCTGCTGGCCACACTACTGCTGATCCAGGCCAGGATGTCATTGGCCTTCTTGGCCACCTGGGCACACTGCTGGCTCTTGTTCAGCCACTGTCAACCATTACCCTCAGGTCCTTTTCACTGGGCAGCTTTCCTGCCACTCTGCCCCCAGCCTTTATCTCATACCATTGACCTCAGCCCATGATCCACCTGTCCAGATCCCTCTGCAGAGCCTTCCTGCCCTCCAGCAGATAAAGACTCCTGCCCAGCTTGGAGTCATGTGCAAACTTACTGAGGGTGCACTCAATATTAAACTGGCCCCAGTGCTGGGCCCAGGGTGACCGGCTGCCATCTGGATGTAACTCCATTCACCACCACTCTCTGGGCTTGTCCATCCAGCTAGTTTTTTATCCAGCGAAGAGTGCTGTCCAAGCCATCAGTTTCCCCACAACTATGTGGGAGATGGTGTCAAAAGCTTTACTGAAGTCCATACAGACAATATCCACAGCCTTTCCCTCATCCACTAGGTGCATTACCTGGTCAAGTAAGACCAGGCAGGTCAAGCAGTGCCAGCATTTCACAAACCCATGCTATGCTGGCTGATCCTGATTGTCCTGCACATACCACATGATGGACTCAGGATGAGCTGCTCCATAACCTTCACTGGCATCAAGGTTAGACAGACAGATCTGTAGTTCCCTGGACTCTTCTTCTGGCGTTAAAATTGCCAAATTTCAGTTACCTCCCCAGTTAGCCAGGACTACTGGTAAATGACTGAAAGTCTCTTGGTTAGCCAAAGCTTTCCGTTGAGGCAAGCCGGCCTTCTTGCCCACTGGCTCATCTTTCAGCACATGGGGATACCCTGCTCCTGCACCTTTTTAGGATTTCCTTCTTGAATAATGTTCTGCCTTCCTGGAGTCCTTTGGTCTTCAGGACTGACCTCCAAAAGGACTCTCTAAACTAGTTTACTAAACAGGTCATAGTGTGCCCTCTGAAAGCCCAAGGTGGCAGATCTGCTGACTCCTCTCCTTCTCCAAGAAGCAAAACCTCATTCATGATCCCTCTGCCCAAGAGAGCCTCCGACCATCACATTATTGACCAGTCCTCTGCTCACAAACAGCAGCTCCCCAGTGAAAGTTCAGACAACTCCTCAAGCTGTTGCTAGTCTAGATATAGTCCTGTTACTACGCTGCATAGTTAAGTCTACTCTAAAACCAGTGATATTTACCTTGGCTGTTTATATTCACATAACACCACTGCACTCATAAAAGACTCAGGAGTTTACAGTTCTGGTAACTTAATTTATGAATTGAGATGTGATGCATGATAATCAAAGTCAGTCCCTCAAAAGTTGCTGCTGCCACCAGGAAGTTTATCTTTAGCGAGATAAAGGATCTTCATGGATCATTAAAGAAAAATTCTACAGTAAGTTAAATGTAGCACACCTCTAATTTGAGATGACCTTAAAAAATCCAAAAAGGCAAGTTTATTAAAATTAGCTCTCAAGGGTTTACATACATTTATTAAAAAGAAATAATTTTCTGGGCGACTCAAATTGCAGCAGCTCCACTAAAAGAGCCCTTTCTTTCAAGAAATTTACATAACATCCACATCTACTCCAACACTCTCAGAAGCAAACCCTCACAGTCCACAGTAACTCTGAAGGTAGAATACAGAAAGACCATATCAAGTGATGAAATATTACTTTTCAGTTAGCCTAACCATACTGTTTTCGAGATTATATTCTTCAAAGAAAGCCACAACACAGTCACTGGATGTTGCATTTACTCAATTTCAGAATTGTCAAAATCATTTGATTTTGATCTTTTCAAAAAACCCTCACAGTTAGTAATGCTTGAGTGAGTTCTAGTTGAGGAAATATTCCAATTACATATTGCATAAGTCAGTACACTAAAAACTAAAGTTCAGTAAAACTAAGGAAGCAAGCTTAAATTTATAACTGAAGCAGTATACAAATAGCCCTCTTAGTGTACCTATTTACACTGAAGAGTTCACAGACAAATGTAACACCTTCACAGTTACTTCAAGTCATCTTAAATTCAATTTAAAAACTCTTGTGGCAGCATTCCATATGTCACAAGGAATCACTTGTATGCAAAAATATGCATGAGTGAGAATTTTTCCTCTGCCCTCAATATAATGTTACATCAAATCCAAACTGGTCACCTTGAATATTTTGAAATAGAACTGAGCAGCATGTGTAACTGAAGCCTAAGCCAACTAAAATAAAACTATAGAATCAAGATTCTTCTAAAGAATGTATGTATTCTGTTAAAAATATTCCAGAAAAAGGTATCTATCATACTTAGCAGAACTTGTCTGTATTTCAAAAAAACTGTGAAAAGAGCTGTGAAGGGATAGTAAGCCCTAACTAGGTAGGGGTTGCTCTGCAGTACAGGCTAATTAGATGCTCAAGTCAGAGCAGCCAACTGTATATCATTTAAGAAGTTACAGGCTGGGAAGGAGGAACAATTTAAAGTTTGGTAGGTGCAAAAAACCCCACCTTTAACTCTGTTATAAACTATTTCCAAATGTATCAGCTTGTCTGAAGAAAAGAGTAAATCCCTGTCTCAGTACCTATGTATTATACGTAGGCACTGAAATTCATTTCGCAAACATTACACTACTTTGAAGCTTAGTGTTCTTTCAGGTACTATTCAAGTCAGTATCTGAACTTGCTGAATCTGAGGCTGCATTTAACACCATTTACCTGAAGTTTAAGTAACAAGAGAAAAATACAAATAAGTGACATTATGAGGAAGTAGTTACCTTAACTGCTTCCACCCAAAGAAAAGTGCAAGTGTACTAAAACTATTTGTTTATACATTCTTGGCTTTACCTAAGGTATGTAGTAGGAAACCAAGGAGATAATGAAAGCCATAGCCACACATAATGGGATACGCTTCCTTTGCCCCATGAGGTTCAGAGCTCCCACAGGTAAGCACACTTTCCACTGTGGCAAAAATATCCCCACATCTATGGAACACTGTTCACTTCCACAGTCCAGTTCTCCTGATTCACCTGTACTCCAGTAAGAAAAGTGATGATACACAGTTTTGATCTATTGGTCATGCTCTTTATAGCTCCTCTCCTAACATGAAGAGAGCCCATTGCATGGTTTCTTCAACTGGCAGTGGCCATGCACTAAAAGAGAAGGGCAGAAGATTCTGGTGCACATACCAGATAGATAAAGTTGTTAGCAGAGTTGCATGTCCAGCAGAAAAACAGACATCACTACGTCATTGCAACCTTCTCTAAATTTAAACAGCACTACACCCATATTTCATGGGTTTGTGAATGAGTAATCTTCAAAAATAGAGGCACTGGTAATAGCTCCATGTAGAAGATACAAAAAGAATTGAAAATCTAATTACGGTAGGTTTACATCACATTTCACTACCTACTCTTCTAAGTAAGAGTTATAATTGGTGTACACTGGTTTTACACTATGTTATTGAATATTTTAAGGCCACTACCTTAATCTGGAAGCATGACTTCTACATAAAAGTACATAGCTGGACTGACTTTTCAGCACACTACTTCTTTAAGAAGTTTTTTTTAAATTGACTTCTTGAGGAGTAAACTTAATCTCTAAAGGCCGATTATGTCCTCAAGTATGCACAAAACACTTTCACCTCAGTATCACTATAGTGTGTCCATAAATAATTTAGCATGAAAAACTCAACTAACCCCTGTCCCCCAGATAGAAAACAAGTAGCTAAACTATGCCATAGTCTCCTCGCTCTGCAACACTGTTCTCCAATCTGGGATTTCTTTATGCAGGTATGCTGCCTTCTGATAACAAACAAGGAAGATAATAAATATAGGGGAAACACTTTCTTTATATGGTGTATTTACATTTAAGTTTGAATGCCACCTTTAAATTAATGGATTCTTTAGATATTAAAGAGTAGCACCATTTACTTCTGACTATTACAGATGGCTATTCTAATAACTTGAGATGGATTTTGGGATATTTTCATGGGAAAGTATTTCTAAACCACTCTGAATTTTTCTAACACTAATCATTTACTATAACATCATTATAATTATTGTACGAACTCCAAGGAATATCAGGGAAGAATTTTAAACTGTAACAATTTCTCCAAAAAGAATTTCATAACATCCTTTTAACAAGTCCATTCCACTACTATCAACTTTCAAAAACACTGTAACAGCAGAAGTTTACTGAACCAGTTATCCAATCTAGGATAAAGCCTTATATTTTTCTGTAATCACCAAGTTAAATGAAGTCCCCTCTTCAGAGCGCAGACCTGGTGACAACATCCCGGTCATGCAAACGAGACCATAAAGTACAACCTTAAATTGCAGCTACTGTAAAATTAAGCCACATCCAGGACACCAGCAGCCACCAACTGCCTGGAAAGCCAGTCCAATCCTTCATAAAGTCCTGTACCACTTCGGGCATCACAACCCTGAATATACCAGCTACGGCCACAGCAGAGTTTGTGGAGACTCAGCAGTTCCGTGATTTCTTCCACCGAAAGTGCACCTGCTACGTCCTGCAATAGAATTGGATACAAACACTCAATTATTATTCCATAACATGTTTGAAGCCATTTTATTTTTAACTAATCGCTTATACTGAAGCTATAGATCATATAAGAGCTTTCCAAACACAAAAGCCAAATCAAACAGTTAAGCATTTACTACCTGTTACCATAAACAAAACCTGGTTGTTCAATCCACTAAGCACTCTACTAACACTTACTTTACCAGCATTACATGTAAGGGAAACATCTACATTTTACGCTTTCAATGTTGCCATTCACTACCCACAGCAGAGGGTTCAGAAAGCTGGAATTTGATACACAAACTGAGGAGAGGAGTAAAAATAAGTCACAAGTACCTGTTTATTAGCAAAGATCAAGAGCAAGGCATCCCGCAATTCCTTCTCTGTTAATAATTTTGCAAGTTCACTGTATACTTCACTGACCCTGTCTCTGTGACTGCTATCAACAACGAACACCACCGCTATGAAAGAAAGAGAGAAATGTTTTACACATATTCAAAAATAAACTCTGTAAAATTAGCTTTCAGCTTACACAATTCTTTTTTTTCTAGCAGCTCTATATGTAAAATTTCTCAGTGGTGCAGAATTCAATTTGAAATCCGGGAGGACTGAGAAATTCCTTACTTATCTCTATACTTTTAACAAAAATCTAGAATTCATCCTAAAACAGGGGAAAAAAGCTCAAGTTTTTTCCTAGTCTAATGCAAAGGCTGCGATATTTTAGCTACTCAAGTCTAAAATCAGATTTACTATGTGTGGATAAAGTATCTTAGTTTAAACCATATCTTGATCCGTTCATACTCCATCAAGTCACACATGACTGTTTCAGTTTCCCTTAGCAGGTAGTATTATCTGCAGTTCAGCTAAATCAGCATGGCTTCCCTCACTTACAGACTACACAAGCCAGAGAAGATTGCTGTGGACCCAACACAGCAGCAGATTTTACTATTCACTAGAGAGATTAACTAAGATGCCTGAAAAACTGGAGAGTCAGAAAAACTGGAGAGTCAGGGAGGCAGAGCTAGAGAACAGAATTTAAACACAATGTTTTTGCAATGAAAAAAAATCCCAACACCAAAAGTAAACAAAATCTACTGCAGGTATGTAGCAGGCTAACTGCTTAGCTTTCTCTTCAACATACAACTCTCAAGGTAGGAATGATTACCTGCTGCCTTACATGGTATGTTTTAGGAGGACAACAGAAACCCCAAAATGAAATTTTTAGAAGTCTGAAAAGATGAGTAATTTTAAGTGTTGAAGCCTGCATTTAAGGCTGAAACAACACACAAGGTGGAGCACATAAACTGGTGTTCATAATTCTTAAATGTGTTTTAGATAATTGTGAATTAGTCAATGAATAGGAACCCCTTCTGAACAGGAAAAAACCTATGGAGGATTTACAGAAGGACGGCATGAATTTCTAAGTTGGCACCATACAGATCAATATTTTCAGAATCAGTGAGCTAGTCTACAGCCAGATATTACAATGCAATACCAAGTCAGAAATTACAAAATTTTGTAGAATTTTTTAAGTTGCTAAAGAGAAGCTCCTGAAAGTATTTTCAAGTGCTATTTAAATTTCATCTGGCAAGTACTGCTTCTCACCATGCAAACTGTGGAACACTGCACGTTGTTTGTTGTCAGCTAAACTAATTTAACATAGGTTCTAATTTTGTTTGGCTCCATGGACTGTCTGATGGATTTATGGAGAATGCACCTTTATCATGCAGCAGAAAATATGACCAACTGGATTAAAATTTCTTTGCTCATGAATCCAGCAGCTGCACTTTGCATTACATGAACTATTTTCTGCTGTTATAAATTATTTCTATTAATAATCTTTTTGGCTCTGAAATACAAGCTAGAAGACCAAATGCAGTATAAAACTTGTAGTAGTATTACCTTGTGTATTGAGATAATAATGTTTCCACAAGGGCCTCAATTTGTGTTTTCCTCCTACATCCCAAATAGTAAACTTCAAATTCTTGTATTCTACTGTTTCAACATTAAAACCTGGAATAAAAATATGAAAAGTTTTACAGTCCTGCCCTGTATGAATATAAAATAACCAAAATCTGCAGAAAAGTCAAACATTTGGAAAAGTCATTACATTTAAATTGTAGCTACTAACCTATGGTTGGAATTGGCTGCATGAATTCATCCTGCTTTAACTTAAACAAAATAGTTGTTTTGCCAGCTCCATCTAATCCTAGAGTGACAACTCGAATTTCCATCTTTGGTCCAATATGTACTCTGTTGTCCTGGAAGAAAACGCATATACAAAGTGACAGAAAACTTAAGAAATTAAATCTAGAAAACTCTTGTGTCTAAAATCCATGTTCTCCCACCATTCGTTAAATGATTAAATGGACCGACTCCACAAATAAACGGCACAATCACCAGTCACCTTTAGCAATAACAGAAATGAAAATATCCAATAATCTCTAATGAACCTGTAACTTCTACCTGAGTTACTGCATGTCTTTTAAATCATGACAGTAAATCTGAACTTCATAAATTTCAAAGTCTTTCATCATTCTTGGCTGAAACCACGTGAGGGTTTGTAGCAACTAGTTGGAATTCTCTGACCAGAGAATTCCCTGTTTTTTCACAGTATAAATGCCTCCATCTAGAAAACTACTTCCTTGCTGGAGGCTCCAGAGCTCTCTCTTCACCTCAAGCCTCTCGCAATCTTTTAAAACAGCAACATTATTAGCAACAAGCAGTAATCTCAAATAGCAAAGAACAAACAATTCCACCTTGGTCTTGCTTGGATGCAAGGAACGAGAACCAACTCCCTCTCCATAGTTCACATCAACCTATCGTAAGTATTGAACAGGCTGTTCACAATGTGATCAAGTGGCAAAAGATAAATTGTAAATGAAACAACAGAGGATAAAATTACTATGTATCCCTGAACCATATTTTGAAGGACTTAGAACTGCTACCTTGATGAAACACCAGGCTTTCAATTATATGAATTATGCAGCAGCATGTTTGTTTTCTTGCAACATCCACACAGTACTATGCTAGGCAAACCTGTACCTACTCCAGACAGCCTTTTATTTCCTCTTACATTAGAAACACTACTGAGTGCAAAAATGCTACAACCTCTCCCGGTATAAGACCAACACATCACCAGTGTGACTGAACATATAACATCTACAGCACATGACTTGAGATACACACACACAGAGGATCCATTATACAGCTGGATATATTGTCATCATGACAAGCAACTGCATTCTCTTTTCTGTCACAGATGATGCAGCAGCACACTTTCAAAATAATCAATTACAGAGTAACTCAGTGATGTTATACTATCACTATACCTCTGAAGAGAGTAAAAATACCTTGAGAAACCACTTTCTAAAAAAAATAAAATTAATGCAAATACGAGAATGCAACAGCCAGCCTGTTGCAATTTGCTTTCTGTAAGATTCAGAGTGAAAATAGCTTGCTCTCAGTATGGTAGTACTCTCTCAGAAGGAATCAAAATGTAATCTGCGAAAGACACCAGATTTCCACTTTTGGCAGGAGTGGCTCTGCCACTTCAAGAAAAACCTTGCAAGAAAGCTTGCTATTCAGACAACAATGTATAGCTGTATGGACCTGGAATATGAGTCAGTATTATTTTACTATTCATGATCACAGCTACAAATTGACATTATCTTTCCTTGTCAGCAGTATCAGCACCTTTAATTGAAAATGTTATTTCAAAAAGGCCTGATCAATAAAAGACCTTTCTGTCTCTATTTCTGTTAGCTGCATAACTTGATAGCATACTTAAAGCCAGGCAACCTGCAACTTCTGTTCAAGTAAAACCTGTTTTCTTAAATCTTGGTACCGAAAGAGCTTTATATGTGGCATTTCCCTTGATGGTTTAGAAGAAGTACTGGTCCTATTCTTACTCCTTTGTGTCATCAGTGAAACTAAAGAATACGGATGAGACCTATTCACTTTTAAAAGTCAAAAGAATAATAGAATCATAGAATTAACTGGGTTGGAAGAGACCTCCAAGATCATCAAGTCCAACTCCTGATCCAACCCCACTGGGCTTACTAGATCATGGCACTCAGTGCCACATCCAGCCTCATCTTAAAATCCTCCAGGGACGGTGAATCCACCACCTCTCTGGGCAGACCATTCCAATGCCTGATCACTCTTCTCTGTAAAGAACTTCTTTCTAATATCCAACCTAAACCTCCCCTGACAGAGCTTAAGACCATGCCCTCCTTGTCTTACTGATAATTGCTTGGGAGAAGAGACCGACCCCCACCTGGCTACAACCTCCTCTCAGGGTGTTGTAGAGAGTACTGAGGTCTCCCCTGAGCCTCCTTTTCTCCAGGCTAAACAACCTCAGCTCCTTCAGCCTCTCCTCATAGGACCTGTGCTCCAGTCCCTTCTCCAACCTGGTTGCTCTTCTCTGGATCTGCTCCAGCACCTAAATATCCTTCCTGAACTGAGGGGCGCAGAACTGGACACAGCACTCCAGATGTGGCCTCACCAGCACTGAGTACACAGGAAAAATCACTTCCCTGCTCCTGCTGGCCACACTGTTCTTGATGCAGGCCAGGATGCCATTGGCCTTCTTGGCCCCCTGGGCACACTGCTGGCTCTTGTTCAGCCTCCTGTCAATCAGCACCCCCAGGTCCCTTTCCACCTGGCTGCTCTCCAGCCACTCTGTGCCCAGCCTGTAGCACTGCAGGGGTTGTTGTGGCCAAAGCGCAGGACCCGGCACTTGGCCTTGTTGAACCTCATTCCATTGGAGTCAGCCCAGCTCTCCAGTCTATCCAGATCCCTCTGCAGAGCCCTCCTGCCTTCCAGGTGATCAACACTCCCCCCAACTTGGTGTCATCTGCAAATTTGCTAATGATGGACTCAATCCCCTCATCTAAATCATCGATAAAGATGTTAAACAGGACTGGGCCCAGCACTGATCCCTGGGGGACACCACTGGTGACCGGCCGCCAGCTGGATGCAGCCCCGTTCACCAGCACTCTCTGGGCCCGGCCCTCCAGCCAGTTCTTAACCCAGCACAGAGTGCCCCTGTCTAAGCCATGGGCTGCCAGCTTTTCCTGGAGAATGCTGTGGGAGATGTTGTCAAAGGCTTTGCTGAACTCCAGACAGACACATCCACAGCCTTCCCCTCATCCACCAGGCGGGTCACCTGATCGTAAAAGGAGATCAGGTTGGTCAAACAGGACCTGCCTCTTCCTAAACCCGTGCTGGCTGGCTCTGATCCCTTGTCCATCCTGTAGGTGCTGTGTGATTGCACTCAGGATGATCTGCTCCATAACCTTGCCAGGCACTGTGGTCAGGCTGACAGACCTGTAGTTTCCTGGGTCCTCCTTGCAGCCCTTTTTGTGGATGGGCATGACATTCGCCAACTTCCAATAGTCCGGGACCTCCCCAGAGAGGCAGGACTGTTGGTAAATGATGGTGAGCTCCTCTGCCAGCTCCCTCATCACCCTTGGGTGGATCCCATCCGGTCCCATAGACTTGTGAGCATCCAAGCGGCTCAGCAGGTCACGAACTGTTTCCTCCTGGATTACAGGGGGGCTATTCAGCTTCTTATCTCTGTCTACAAGCTCCAGAAGCCAGCTGTCCTTGGGACAACCTGTTTCTTTCTGTTGAAAACTGAGGCAAAGAAGGCGTTCAAAAGCCCTCAACCTTTACCTCCGCTTTGATAACTAACACGGGTTGGGGGTCCCCGCGAACAGACCCTCGGGCACACTTTGTATAGGAAATGGGCCACACACAGGTAGGTATGTGACCCACAAAATGGCGTTTATTAAAACAAGATGTCAGTTTATATAGAGGGGAACATGGAAGGGTCGAGAACAAGGGTGGGATTCTTTGCCAGGGGCACCGAATCCTGAGGGTCAGAGATAAGAGGGATGGAGGGATTGGCTGTGGGGAATATGTCCAGCCATATAAGGAGAGTTGGGAGTTAGGGAAGGAAGGGAAGGAGTGGTGAGGGGCACAGATAGGGGGGTTCTGCAGGGGTCTGCAAAGTGGCGTCTTATTGCTGGATCTCAGGCACTTCCTGCAGCTGCAACTGTCAAAGCACTTCTAGATAGATTTCTTCCTCTGAGGTTTCTTTGCAGCCCCTCTGCATCTCTTTCCATTCTCTGTAGGCCTCCATTGCTCCACCTCCAACAGATAACTATGTTCCCACCCATGTCCGATAAAGAATGGAGGTTTTCCTTGCCCCTTCTTTTGCTCTTGATGTATCTGTAGAAAGACTTTTTGTTATCCTTAACAGAAGCGGCAAGATTGAGCTCAAATTGTGCTTTCGTCTCTGATTTTCTTTCTACATGACCTAACTCTATTCCTAAACTCTTCATGAATTGCCAGCCCTTTTTCCATGCTCAGTAAGCTCTCTTTTTTCCCCTAATTCCTTTAAAATCTCCATGTTCAGTCAGGCTGACCATCTTCCCTGCCAGCTTGCCTTTGGGAACGCTGGGACAACCTGCTCCTCTGCGTTCAAGACTTACTTCTTGAAGCATGTCCATCCCTCCTGGACCCCTTTGTTTTCAAAGGCTGTTTCCCAAGGTACCCTTCTGACCAGTCCTCTGAGTAGGCTGAAATCTGGTTTTGTTGATGGTCCTCTTTGCATCCCTGAGTATTGAAAACTATTATTTCATGATGACTGTGTCCCAGATGGCCTCTGACCACCACATCTCCCACCAACCCCTCTCTGTTTGTGAACAGAAGGTCTAGTTGGGCCCCATCGCTGGTAGGTTCATTTACCAGCTGGAGCAGGAAACTGTCCTCTATACACTCTAGGAATCTCCTAGACTGCCTCTTCTCTGCTGTGTGGAGTTCCCAGCAGACATCTGGCAGGTTAAAGTCACCTACAAGAACAAGGGCTGGCGATTTTGAGACATCTGCCAGCTGCTTGTAGAAAAAGTCATTACACTCATCATCCTGGTTGGGTGGTGTGTAACAGACTGCCATCAGGATATCAGCCTTGTTGGCCTTCCCCCTGATTTTGATCCACAGGCACTCAACCTTATTGTTACTGACTCCAAGTTCTGGAGGGTGGAGAGACACTCTAACATATAGAGCCACCCCTTCACGTCTCCTGCCTTGCCTGTCCCTTCTGAAGAGCTGGTAACCATTCATGGCAGCTCTCCGGTCATGTGAGTCATCTGACCACATTTCTGTGATGGTGACCACATCACAGCTTTCCTGCTGCACGATGGCTTCCAGCTCCTCCTGCTTGTTACCCACACTGTGTGCATTGGTGTACATGCACTTCAGCTGGGCTGCTGCTATCACTCCTAACCCTGACTTTCCTCCCTTAGGCTCTTCTCTGGAGAGCCTGGTTTCAACCCCTTCCCCCTTCAAACCTAGTTTAAAGCCTTCCTGATCAGCCCCACCAACTTATGGGCTGTAGTCCTTTTGCCCATTTGATTTGAGGAGACTGGGTACCATGGAATTTGCCCCATGGTCAAAAAAACCAAAATTCCGCTGGTGGCACCAATCCTTTAGCCACCTATTGATAAGATAGGTTTTCCTACTCCTCTCCTCATTCATCCCTCGTACTGCAGGAACTGAGGCGAACACCATCTGTGCTTCTGTCCCATTAACTAATCCAGCACCTTGAAATCCTTTTTAATCGCCCTGGTACTTCTTCCATTAATGTCATTGCTGCCAACCTGGACTGCCAACAGTGGATAATAATCTGAGGGTCAGATTACTGGACTGAGATCTGCAGTAGGTGATGCGTTTTGTGATTCGGGTAACATGAGGTTTGTCAGTAGGGAATTCTTCACACCTTCCATTAGTACAGTAGAAATGTTCATTGTAGTTATGAAAATAATAATTTTTATGGCACACAGTGTTTGTGTGTTCCTTGTATTCTTTAGTTGTTAGCTATTGTGGATTACATAGTTTTTTAAAATTTTTAATTACGTTTAAGTTAGGGAAAATCTACCTAAATATTAAATAGCTTCATGATTGAAGGAAGGAAGAGGATGGAGTGAGCTTACAGAAAAATTACTAGTTGTATCTCATGTGCTTAATACACTGTAGTTAATATGCTCTTAATGTTTGTCACAATCTCAACTAGTTTGTGCAATTTCTCAGAAAAACCTCAAGCAAATACCATTTTTTCTCCCCTTCATTTAACTCTTCCTCAAAAATAGGAGATTCTGGAGTCTGGGGATTGAAAAAGAATTTTGCTTGGTTGGAACTCTTGGAACGGTTGCAGAATGGACCTGCGGGGCAGTGTGGGACAGCGGAAGAAGCCATTGGTCTATCTGGAGAGGTACTGAGTTATAAACAAAAAAGAAAAAAAATTGTTACATTTGCTGAAAGTTATCTCTAGATAGAAAAAGATTGAAGATCATTTTTTTGCCACATGTAATTTCACCAATAATACTGTTATTGTCTTCCAATATCTAGTATTAAGGCTTTAATTAATTGCCTTATAATTAAATGCAAATTTGTACTTGACTAATGCAGAAAATAAACAGGTATTAACAAGCATGCCTACTGTTTTCCCCTTTTTTATGATTTTAAGATGTTTAGAAAAGCTTATTCATTTGGAAATTTTAGTTGTAGTTATATCAGTACAGTTTACAAATCAGTACAGTTTACAAAACTTCTTAGAAATTCTCCCGAAGGACTTCAGCTCTTCTTCTTAGTAGTTGCCACTTCTAGTCATTTGGTATCATTACATCATGTAATAATACTTCATTGCCAAAACCAGCTGCTTTTATAATTTCAGTAATAAAAACTGGTGTGCAGAAAGTATCTTCAGTGGCATTCTAGAAACAGATAACTTTCCTAAGTGCCTATTAGTCTATTGGATTCTTGTTTGTCTGTATTTAATTCCTTGTTCTGTAGTGATTGCTTTGGACAAAATTACTGTGGCCAGACTTATTTTCTTCTCCAAACCTTTACAACTTGCACTGAATCAGTGTAATTTATTAAATTGCTGAACACTTCAGATTTTTATCTTTTAAAATTTTATCAAAAACTTAAAATAAAGTTTCAAAGTAGTCCTAATACCTATTAGTGTTTAACTTTTAAATAAAGCTAATATTGTTGACAAGTCTTCTGATACTTTTTTTCCTCTGTTACTGGAGTTAAGTGTTAACAACTTTACTTTTGCCTTTGTTTTGTTAGTGCCAGAGTATCATTCGTTGTGATGAAGATGAAGCCCACATTGCATCTGTGTATTGCACAGTTTGTGCTACTCACCTTTGTGCAGACTGTTCCCAGCTCACCCATTCTACTAAGACACTGGCGAAACACAGGCGTGTGCCTCTTGCTGATAAGCCTCATGAGAAGACAATGTGCTCCCGACACCAAGTACATGCTATTGAGTTTGTTTGTTTGGAAGAGGGCTGTCAGGCGAGTCCTCTCATGTGTTGTGTCTGCAAAGAATATGGAAAGCATCAAGGTCATAAGGTACTTCTAGTAATTAATTTCTGGTCATGCCATGGGGTGGCTTGCATAATTGCTTACCCAATTAAAGTACGAAAGGTTGTCAAGAAATGAGGGTAGACTCTTGATATGTCTTCTTACCGTTCTTTCATTTTCCCTTCATTTCAGATAGTTGCCATTGTAAAATTACAAGCAAAAAAAATTATTATTTCAAAGTCCTCGGTGAATTGTTTATATATATATGAAGAAGAATAGTTCCTTTATTTGCTGCTTTTCTGAACTTCTTACAACACTGAACCACCAGTTTTGAAAGCTGTTTTCATAATGTATACACTGCATACTCATCACATCACTGGTGCAATCTAACCACCTTAATTTTTTTTATAATTCGTTATGATAAAGAGGTGAATTTTTGTTTACTTGCATAATTGCTAGATGCCTGAATTTAGTTTGAGTGTAATACGTGACTCCTGATTGTGTTTTGAATTGCAAGATAATTTTAGATTCTTACTTGTCTTTCCAATATATATTTGTAAATACATGCCAATATACATACACGTATATATTAAATGTGTTTTAAAATAGGAAAGGTGATTAAGGAAGATATTTGTGATTGATCTTTGATATTTTTCTTTTAATTAACAGCATTCTGTCTTGGAACCAGAAGCGAACCAGATTCGTGCATCCATTTTAGACATGGCTCACTGTATAAGAACTTTCACAGAAGAAATCTCAGATTATTCCAGAAAACTGGTTGGAATTGTTCAGCACATAGAAGGAGGAGAACAAATAGTTGAAGATGGAGTTGGAATGGCCCATACTGAACATGTATGCTTTTTTTATCTCCCTCACATGCACAAAATATTTGCTTTTTTGTAATAGCCAAGATAAGGAATATATCTGAAAATTAAGTGTGAGTTTTATAGGACAAGACAAGTTCTTATATCTTGCATGTCAGTATTGAGGCTTAACTCAGCAGACAGAGTGGAACTTGTCTGTTACAATGTTTCTAAGCTGCATGAAAATAGAGAGGCAGTGGGAAAAGTTGTATAACTGCTAGTATTTAAGTACTGTGACGGATGTCCTCAGGTGCTGTGATATTATTGAGGCTTTTTTCCCTGGTCATTTTTAGGAATGTGTGTATACATACCAATAAGCTAGTTGATTATAGGAGCAACTTCTTGGAGGGTCTTGGTGTTATACAGAAAGTCTTATCAGCCCTGACTGGGATATGAACTGTGATGTAGAAGAGCAGATATGAACATAAGTTAGAATCTGGAATAAAATCAAAAATATACTTCTGGAATCAACTGGTGTTCTTAATCTTCCGTATCTCCTTACTGCAACACTGTAGGTACCAGGAACTGCAGAGAATGCTCGCTCATGTGTCCGAGCCTATTTTTCTGCCCTTCATGAAACCCTGTGTCGTCAGGAGGAAATGGCTCTTAGTGTTGTTGATGCTCATGTGAGAGAGAAGTTGATTTGGCTTAGGCAGCAGCAAGAAGACATGACCATCCTCTTGTCACAGGTTTCAACAGCTTGTCTTCACTGTGAAAAGACTTTACAACAGGTAGGTTGACAGGTAGCATATGGTGAGGTATGTGGAACTACAAATTAAGTTTAAACCATAGGAAAAAGAGGTTAGATAGTACTCCACATTATTTCTTTACAGTTAAAGTTAAAATAATGATGGTATAACATGAGACTTCAATATTCATTACAAGGGGCTGTTAGACAAGGTTAATCAGTATGAAAGTGTAGAGTCCTCCAGTTGCTTTAAGACCTGTGGCATGACTCTTTTCTTGAATAATTTCTGGTATTTGTGAGATTTGTGGGAATGTGAGATGAAACTGAAGCAAAAAACCCTACAGGATTTATTGGGAGGATTTTACAGCTGCAGTTTGCAGTATATGTGTTTGAAGGTAGTTGTCATACGTGGCTGGTAGAAAAAAATGTTTTAGGATTAAATAACTTTTAATGGCATTTTTAACATGGGTAACTCAGCATCTTAAATGTGTGAAGAAAGTGACTGTGTGAGAGTATCTGATTAGTCCATTATTCAATTTAATTATAGCAAGAAGTAAATAGTATGTGTAGCTAATAATAAACTGAGTGTAAGAAACTACTTCTTTAATACGTTATTTGTATTTTTTTTTTTTCAGATAGGTTTAGAACTAGTGTCTGGTTACTTAGTCAGATTTATCTATTCAAATGTTCTGATCATTAATGGGTGGATATTAATACTTTCCTGTTAAGTGTGTTGCTGTATGCTGCCAAGTTGCTCTATTCCAGCTGCTGGAATGATACATTAATTATATAAATATTCTTCTTATATTAAATTATTATCTCTTATCATTTTAGATTCTTATTCCTACATGGTTAAGAGAGGTTTAGGAAAAAGTATTTTTAAACTGCAGAACTGTTCAGTATCTATTAGTGTTAAGGAAGAATCTTAAGGTACTCGTATTTGTATTGCAATTTTAAACAAATCTGTTTTGTGAATGTGAGTTTCTTTAACTACAGTATTTCTATTTTAAATGCTTTATTTCTTGCAAACTTATCTATATTATAATTGGGTTTTTTAAGTAAATTACTAAAGAAAAGGCATGCTTTATTTTCTTTGTCTGTTTAGGATGACTGCAGAGTAGTGTTGGCCAAACAGGAAATTACAAGATTGCTAGAGACATTACAGAAACAGCAGCAGCAATTTACAGAACTTGCAGACCATGTCCAACTGGATGCTAGCATACCTGTCACTTTTACAAAGGTATTCTTAGTCTCATAGAAGTACAGCTATCCACTTTATAAAGTCCCCAATGTAATTTAAAAAAAAGCAGGAGTAATATATGTTCATTGTGATGCTGTATTTGTTGCAACAAGTTTAGACAGTTCATTGTCAGTTAGAGCCACAGTGTCTTATCACATGATGACTACGATCTCATATTTAAGTAACATAATGACTGTGCTGCTATAAGTGGGGTGAGAAACGTTCATTTGACATTGACCACATCAGTAGCTTTTTTTGAACATTAGCTGTTTTTAATATTTAGGAAAGTGTTTGTAAGTTCTAGAAACACTTTTCTTTCAAAGAAACATCACTGATTGTTCCCTGAAAACTGCACACCTATTTAATATGCAAAACTACTGGTATAGCTTTCAGTTTATAGTATTAAAAATAATGTGTTTCAGTTCATTAAGTGATCGTTTGTCTTATATTTGTTTTGTATTGACTGATAGCTTAGACATGTTGCATCTTCTAAATAGGTTTGGTTTTTATTGCTTCAATATAACCTCAGTACCACATTCTTTGAAAGGGATGAAATTATTTGGAGTTTGATAACGGTACTTTTGTCTGGTGTGTGTATATATGGTTGAGGAGAAAAGACAATGGAGAAAGAATCATGTCTTGTTGATGTCACCCGGGGAGTCTTTCTGCTGTGCCTTCTGCAGCCGGACTTGTCTATCTCTCATTGGCCTTTTTAGCCATCAGCGTGCTCGTAGCAAGCGTGAGTAGAGCCCTTCTCAAATCTTCGTTCACGAAGCCTAGCCGTGAATGAATATGTGGAATTCATTGTCTATGATACTTTTCACATAGGCAAATGAGTGAATTTGAAACTCAAGGAACAAGAAGTACTTTGATTTATGAGGTTTTTTGGTTCTGAATAGGTGAAAGAGGAATAATGTATATTGTTGCTGAGTAACTGAGGAAAAGGATGCTTGCATGGGGATTCTGTGTGAGTCCTTGTTGATATCAGAAATTAAATTTCTTCCAGATAATTTATGTAGCATAGATATATTTGAATTTCCTTGTAAATGCAACATTTTAGCTTTTGCCTGTTCCTTTCTAGTTCAGCAGAGACCAGAGTTGGTAGGGTCAGGGTGATCTCCTCTGCAAACTCCCATTATGCCATGAATGAAGCAGCATTCACATTTCACAGATTAACAATTACTGAGTCAGAGGGTAATTTTGGATGTCTGATTTTACCTTTAGGAGCTATTAATCTGACTCAGAAAATTTTGATTGTAAATCTCTGAGTATTTGGAAAATAGAATGTTAGGAGCCAGCTAAGCTGTTACAGGAGGTCTGAAATAGGTCTTGGTTGGAGGGACTCAAGACGTGGTTTTCTCCTATAACAAATTGGTATTTTTACGAAGTCTTTTGAGGGTTAATTAATTAATTAATTAATTTGCCAAAGCAAATGTCATTTTTCACAAAAACAGCAGCAGCCCTGAAAAAGTAAGGTGAAAATAATTAGTTGAGTTTCTTACTTTTTGTTTCCTCACTTCTGATAAAACTTAATGCTCTCTTTCTGCACAATGTGTTTTTACACTATTGTGCTGATGGCCACTGTTGTGACTTGCAGTGAGGCTTATGTACTTGAACAGTCTGTGCCTCACAACAGATATTAGACAGAAGTAAAATCTTCAGATAAAAACCCAAACTGTTATTGTATCACTGGAAAGGTGTTTCTCAGGATCTGTCATTGCACTGAAGGCTGCATCCATTGTAAAATGAAAAAAGCACTTCAAACATTACCACATCAGAGGAACATTCCATATTCAGTGAAGATTGTGAAGGTTTAAGGAGGGGAGGGAGAAGTCATGGTTTAGGAGGTGCGGCCCGGCGGGTGCTGCGGTGAAGGTGAGGCGGTGGCTGGGCTTAGCTCGGCTCCTGCGGCGGGACGGCCGGTGCCGACCGGGGAGGGGGAGTGAGGCATCTGTGGTGCAGGAGGCGTCCCCTGGGGTGGCGGGGCTTAGGGGTTGTCCGGTGTTTGGTTTCCTTTTTTTTTTTTTTTTCTCCTAAATGACCATCAGTTTTCCTTTTGGCTAGCGGTTTAAGATGTTCAGGCCCTCAGCTGTTTGTTCCCGTTGCCTTGGTGCTGCGTTTATAGCTTCATAAGTATCTAACTTGACGTGACTGACCTCTTTATGTGCACCAGCTGCTAAGGGAAGCTCTCCGCCGACCAGCACTCCGCTTTGTCAGGGTCTTGTCCTCCGCTTCGCGTTGCTGCGAGGGTGTTTCTCCTTACTTAGTTGTGCTGCTTGACGAGACGGCTTTCCTTGGGGCAGTGCATTTAATGAAGTAGGCAAGAAGTAATTATCAGGTCATCAGGTGGGATACTGAGGAGTTAAAACGTTCAGCTTGTGTCTATTTATTTACTTTAAAAATATCGTTAGTCGTGTGCAAAAAGCAAAATTA